AGGTTAGGTAGGTTGCTCAAATGACTTCTCACTGAGTAGCCCGCAGTGAGCGCCAAGAGCCCTGAGGAGGGGCCTCTTCCTCCATAGCATGCTGGTCAGGCCCAGCCGCCATCTTAGGTGAAGTCTCCGGGTAAGAACCTCAGGGTAGGCCGGGATGACCCCCACCGTCTCAAAGGGGGGCAAGCAGGGCCATCACCCCACTGAGTTAGGGGACCCCCATGTCGAAGCCAGGCAGTGTGGCGGCCGTCCACCCTACCCACCACCTGGATAGGCTTGACTAGGCCTCGGTCTTAGGGTTCCGTGTCTCCCTTTCCCAAAAGGGGCCCAGAATCAGGTCGCTGATTGTTCTCCAGGACTGGCACTTCTCAGTGCAGTTGCCTGTCGTGACTCAGCTCCAGAAGTTGCATTTTTGGGACCAAATTGCCTGAATAGCAGAAGCTATAGTGCCATGAGTCTGCTCTGCTTGGCGGTCCGGCCCCCGCCTGGTGTGTGTGTGTGTGTGTGGTGGTTTTTTTACTCCTAAATGACAGAGAATTGAGCAGTGAGGCTGCAAGGGCATGATCTATACATCAAAACTGCTTCATTTAACTGAAGTTGTTTTGGTGCCTATAGTGTCTCTTTAAATTAACACTAATTTTATCTAGTGGTTGGAAGGCTCTTTAGCCATTGATGTGGCAGCTGTGCACCAGGTGACCACAGGATATAGAAGTGTTGAATGTGCGTAAAACCAATATGCCAGCCAGTAAATGGAGTGCTCTGATGTTACTCTATATTCTTGGTTCCCACATATTCTAAAAATGAAGCAGATGGTGTCACAGGTCTGAGTTTTTGCCCACTGGATCACCTATTAATAATTAAAAATCAAGCCCAGTGGTGAATGGATATGTTTTAGTAGCCCTCTAATACATAGCTATGCAACAAAAGGTATTTTTATTTTTTAACAGCAATATCTTGCTGTATGTGAAGCTGCATTGCCACTTAAAGGGGGAAGTTAATTGGGGATATAGTTATGAAGTGCATCTGATGTGACTCTTCATGCCAGAAAACTACTTTATATTCTGTCAGGCCTGCAAGATAGTATTTCAATTAGAGCTGTCTTTTTGAAGACTCGTTCTTTATTTTGCAAAGTATTCTGTAAACTAGTGCTAATTGGAGGATAGCATTTGCAGGTGTGCTAATCTGTCCAGATCTCATGGGCACTACAAAATGTCTGCCGACTTGCCTTCCAAAGTGGTACTTCAACTACTGTATAGTGCGATGATTGGTGTTGTGATAGACCCTTGTCATGCACTTTCAACTCTACTATATACTTTATACCTTAACCTGTCTTGCCTCTAATTGTATTACAGTATGCTTACATGTGCTTCTATGTTTCCTTAAAAAGGGCTGCTGGTCTCAAATAACGACAGGAACTGTAACTCCGTGCATTCTCATTGAAACCCCACAAAAAGAAACTGAAATGTCTCCAGACATGTCAAAGTTTACCCGATACAGGTTTAAGAATCTCTTCATCAGCCCATGTCCTCTGCCAGAGCTGAGGTGAGTATTTTATATTTTAACACTTAGTTCAGGTTATAAGAATAAATTTCTTGCAACAAAATGAACTATCCCTGTGTTTCTGATTTTTGTTGTAAATGGGCAGTCCAATGAAGGCCTCTCTAGTTTGTACACATGTCACTTTTAAGTGTATCTGTAGCCTTGGCAAAAAACATCTCCCAAGATCCACTGCCAGCTAGTTATATCTTGCATTATTGACCCCTACATGTCATAACATCTGATTAGTAAAATTACTTCTTTAAATTGAGACTCCTACAGAGTAGCAAAAATTTAAAAGTAACTTTGGAACACAAACCACTCCCTCTAAAGTGACTGAAAAATTTTCATTTACCTACAAACTTAAAACTCTTCTTGTTTTGTCTTGTAGCTGGGCAACTTCAAATGATGTGTGGGTGAAAATGTTGGACAAAGAAACCAGGTACCTACACTCAAGTCATGTACTTCAGAACCATCACTTGCTGAACAGAGACATGCGGTCAATTCTAATGGACTGGCTCATAGAGGTATGCTATCCCTGCCTACACGTTGAGATAGGATAACTTTTTATTTATTGGGAGGGGATAATAAACACAGGTCACTGAACTTTTTTAAAATAGGTCTTAACCTGGTGATTTATTTCCCTTTCCTCCAGAAAGTCCATATATAAGTTAAACATATGTTGGCTATATTTAGCTACCAATCACTTATATTTTATTATATGCAAGCGTTTCTAAAAGGTTTACAAACTTTCATATCGATGAGAAAAAGGAAGTGGTTTTTAGAAGCCATTTTCTTTTTATAATAAAAGGTGCAATGTACTTGGCTTATGAGGGTGGGGGGATTGACGCTTAATATTTAAAAATGAGGGTTCAATGTTTTTATGTTGCCTCCTTCTTTCAGGTATCTGAAGTCTACTCCCTACACAGGGATACTTTCTACCTTGCTCAAGACTTCTTTGACAGGTTCATGTTGACACAAAACAGTTTAAGCAAATCCATGCTTCAGCTCATAGGAGTCACATGTCTGTTCATTGCTGCTAAACTAGAGGTGAGTCAATGATATTCCATATGTTGGCAGCCACTACCCTCACACTGGGCAAGCCTTTCTTGTGTGGGTGAGGGATTCCTTCAGGGCAAACGTCTTGCTTTGTACATCTAATCTTGTGAATCACCACTTTAAAAAGCCTTAACTGAGCTAGCTATACCCCCATGCAGTGAGTGAGTTGACCTACTTTTAATAGGTTTTCTTTCTAGTATTTAAACTTGCTGCACGTGTAATACACTCAAAGTGAAATGTGTCTTCATGTCCAATGCTGTAGCTTGTAATGTGTAGCACAGAGTAAATATTGCCAACAGAATTCTGTAACAGATGGCATGTAGGCTAATACATGTGTTAATCTATAGGAGGATGTCCAACTGTACTAGGTGCTTGTGTAATAAATATTTCTCAATTTATATTCTAGGAAATCTATCCACCTAAAATCAATGAGTTTGCCTATGTCACAGATGGTGCCTGTTGTGAGGATGATATTATTCAGATGGAGCTCATCATACTGAAGGTAAGTCATTGTACAGGTTCACTATTCAGGGTCTGTTAATGGACATGTTTATGTGTAGTCCCATTACTAATCCTAAACACTTGTTTGATTTTTTTGCTCATTCTCTTTTAACTTTCTTAGGCATTAAAGTGGGAACTATGTCCAGTTACTGCAATCGCCTGGCTCAATCTCTATCTTCAAGTATCTTCTCTTAAGGAAATGCCAAAACTGCTGCTACCTCAGTACTCACAGGAACAGTTTATCCAGATAGCACAGGTAAGGACTCCTGTTTTTGTTGCTAAAAACAGTCTGGGATCTTACTCATTTTTTTTAATCATGCTATTTAAAATGGCTGCCTGTGTGGTGTTTAAAAAAAATCACATAAAACAAAAGTTAAATTCTAAATCTACCTCTGAAGCTACCTTGTATAAAACTGCATATGCGAGGGATATAATACACTTGACTAACTTATCTTTAAATCTGTTACAGCTTCTGGATCTCTGTATTCTAGACCTTCCCTCACTGGACTTTAAGTATCGAATTCTGGCAGCCGCTGCATTATACCACTATACTTCAATGGAAGTAGTTGCTAAAGCTACAGGTAAGATTGCCAATGCATAGAGGTGAACAACATTTGGGTAACCTGCATATTGTATGCCAGTGGCAGAATTGTGACGTCTGGTTTTTCTTGTACGTACATATGACTGTTACAAGCTGAAATTTGGTTAACCCTCTTGCTCTTCCATTGCAGGTCTAGAATGGGATTGCATATCTGAATGTGTACAGTGGATGACCCCTTTTGCAAGTGCTGCAAGAAGAAGCCCACCTATAGAGCTACAAATGACTAAAAAGGTGCTACCAGACGATCTTCACAATATACAGACTCATACAAACTACCTTGAGATGCTGGTATGTATGTTTTGCAGCATTCAACCCACCCTATTGCAATTATCTTGTATGTAGAGGTACACCATGTTTTACTGATCTAGATTGGGTTCTCCACTGAAGAGTAAATCTTCCAGAATTCAAAGGGCATAGAAAAATAGGCCAAAATAATCAAACTGAAGACCTAGTGTGTGGGAGCTGAGCTGGAAACAAAACTAGATTAGCATTGTAGTGACCTAGTGCTACTGTAGTCAAGATTGCGAAGTTTGCTAACTTACGAGGGGATGCAGTCCCTTTCTTCAATGAAAACCAGAAGATCTTGGACAGATCTTCTGTTGGCTACTTGGCAATGTGAGATCACCCATTAACTGCTCTTGGCTCCATGCAGTGAACATCTTGGTTTTATGGAGGGGATTTGTATCATAACCAAAGCATGCTGGCATCACTAAAATATTTGACTTTTCCAATTGATTTTTAAATAAGGATTACTGAATCGTCACTGTACTTTAATGATGGTAGGTGATGGAATTGAATATACACTTAAGAAAAATATAACTTTTTTTTTTTTTTTTTAAACCTTCTGTCACGTAGGATGAAGTAGGAGCACACAGAGTTACTGTTCTGCTTGATGGACAATCTCCACTCTCAGTCGGAGGTATCTTGACACCACCCAAAAGTACAGAGAAAATTACTCTATAAAATATTCTAGTTGGATGTCTCTACTTCCTTTTTGTCATCAACTCTTGTGTGAAGCTTTACGGTCTACTGGACAACGAGATGTCTCCTGGATGTTTTGGAATATGTGGCAATTTTCATGCAGGAGCCCTGTCTTGCACTCTCTAGTTTGCTAACTTATTTATTGCAGTATTGTACTCCCTACTCTTGGGTCCAGGAACTTGGCTATACAGGCAGCTCAATTTTTAAAAGGTTACTATTTTAACAATATGAATTCTGTCAAATTTTGGACTCTTAACACTTTCTTCTGGACTCACATCTGTTGCTGGGATGAGCTGTCACTTTAATTTTATTTCTATCCCCCTACCCCTGCAAAAAAAAATTAAACACCTGCCAATGTGCCCTGCTCTAATCCTATAAACTGATGGTTATACACCTGCCTTATCAGCAAAAGAACCTGAAATACATGCAGGTTTCTGCATATTGCTTCTACCCTTGGTTTGCTGTACTGCCTTAAAGTTGTGTTCTGTCACTTGAACACCAGAGCTTTCCTTACAGATGTAGTGTAGTCTCCATGGGAATTGGGCAAAAACACTGCATTTGCTTCCAAGGGTGATCACCTTGTGTGGCTTAGTTTCTCGGTCTCCCCCTGTGATTCTTGTTGGACACGGCCAGTTTTTTTTTTTTTTTTTCTCTTAACCAAGAAAGGATGTTTAAATGACTGGTTAAATTATTTTGTCTCTATCATATAGCTGGTATGGTGCTGCTTTCTTTGCTAAGGGGGGAACTAAATCTCCCCTCTCACCTTCTCGGTATAACATTGCATGGTTTCCAGGTGCTGGCAATGTCTTGTTTTAAATGCAGCGTATAAAAGGAATTTGTTTTAATCCTATTTTAATTTGAGATGTATTTTTGGAGGGTGCCATTTAACTGTACAGGCTTAAACGGTATGGAGGGTTCTTGCATGGGTGTAGTTAACCTATAAAGTGCCAGGAATTTGCCACATGACCCTTGCAGCCAAAGGGTTACATGCATTGCCTTTTTAATTTTTTTTTTTTTTTTAAATATATTGCATTTGCTATGTATTAAGTAATTGTTACAAATTGGAGCAATTAACATCTAATTTGGCCTCCACGGTGATTGCTTAAAGTGGAAAGTAGCAAATGATTCTCTGGCTAAAAGTGAGATCCCCCAGATGTTGTAGAACTAGAACTCTCATGCTTTGCATGTCTTAGAGTGACAAGGCAACATGGATGTTTGTAGCTTTAAAACATCTGGGGATCTACTTTTTGGGCACCCCTGCCACTAGAGCAGGGGTTTCCAACAGAGTCAAGTACCCCCTACCATTCCAGGATTACCATGTTATGTCAAGGGGAGGGGTGGTGGTATGGGTACATGAGGACTGGGTTGGGAACCACTGCCCTACAGCATAGTCTTTGGGTTTTATACTAAATGGCAGCTGTTATTTGCAAATCTTTATGATGTAATATTTGCTACAACTGTTAATGCTCTGATTTTTATATTCAAATGCTACAACTGTCTGTACGAAGATATTCCTACATGTGTTCATAACTTATGTGAAATACTAGATTGCAAATTTTTGGAATGACTGCTGCATTTAAGTTGAAAGAGGGTATGATTCCGCTCTTTATTACCTGCCTATGGAGTTTATTTGATTTTAAAGGAACACTATCTGCTGTAGTTAATGATGCCTTTACACCATAAGTAGTCAAACTATTTGACAACTTTTAATGGATGCGCTGTGATCTAGGATGGCTGTGCAGAACTTGGCTCATTCACTGAGTGTGCTCAGATGACTCTTTCAGCCAATGAGCTAGCATTGCATGATTTAGCTCAGTGGAGGTAAACAATTTGCAGGTGCTTCTAGCTTCACAGGTGCCTGTGACCAGTGGATCCTACATACAATTTAAAATTTATTTAAATTTTTTTTTTTTTTTTAATTATATAATGGTCTTACGATTTATCCTGGGTGTGTGCTAGAATGTTGCCTGTGTGGGGGTCATATAATTTTTTATTTTTTTTTAAACTGGGATCTGTAGGGAAGTTTGACAATAAAACTGTCCACCTAAAAGTGTGCTATTATGTTTAACCTGTTGCATTTTTAATTTACTGTTAAAATCCAGTTCTAGGCAGTGTCCATCTGTTAAACAGCCAGGAGGGTCTTAATCTTGCTAAAGAACCTCATGTAACCTTAAGATCTTGGCTCTGTTAGTGTATGATAAATTAACAATGAGCATGTTTTTATTGTGTTTTATAGCTTTATTTTAAGCTAATATTGAAGTCAAAGCTGCAAGTTTTGGGATGAGATTTAATTGAAACTGTGAAACCCTACTGCAAATAAAAGGTTAATGAAATCTACCAGCTTAGGGTGGTCTTGCCCTGATTGCAGGTTTTATTTTGGTTCCCCACCCAGCAGATGCTTAAAGTATTGATGTGGCATTCCAAACCTTTGTTTTCCTTAGTGTTGTTAGCAAAGCTTTTAATTGTGAAAAATGGTAACTTTATTTTTGGCCCTGGCTTCACACTGCCAAATGGTTTTTAGACAAATGTTCTGTACAATATGTAAATATGTTCTGTAAATGTATACTTCACCTCTAGGAGGAATACCGTGTGCACAAATGTAAATATGTATTAAAGTAAACATGATGATTTATTTTGGTCTCTTGTAAATATCTATAAACACTGTACAGGGGCTGGTGCCATTAGCTTCAGAAATAGAGCTTGCCCATTGCTTGGAGAAACCTCTTCTTCCGTCTCTGAGCAGCGAGTTGCAGCACCTCCTCTGGGTTACTGGAATTCAGCTCAGTCTGCCCAATGGCTTTAATCTATGAAGACAATAGGAGAGGAATGACCACTGGAACACAATGACTTCTACCATTTCATTACCATAACCATATATTAAATACTTCAAGTGCAAGAGAGCACTAGTATTAATAGCTCTTAACCTGCCTCTCTTGGCAAACTTATTACCTCATTTGGTTTCCACTACCACCTGTACGCTGATGACACCCAGCTATATCTCTCCACCCCGGACCTCTCCCCTGCTGTCCTGCAACGTGTCACTGCTTGCCTTTCTTCCATCTGACTGGATGTCCTCCTGCTTTCTGAAACTCAATCTCTCAAAAACTGAGCTCCTTGTCTTTCCTCCTCCTAATACTGATCCTCCTCTCTCGCTCCCCCTTCAAGTTTGTGGTACCAACATCAGCCCATCCTTGCAAGCGCGCTGTCTTGGCATCATACTTGACTCTGGTCTCACCTTTGAGCCTCACATCCAGCATGTTGCCAAATCCTGTAGATTCCATCTTAAAAACATAGCCCGCATCCGCCCCTTTCTTGCACCAGATACTACCAAGGAGCTTGTCCATGCTCTAATAATTTCACGCATGGATTATTGTAACCCTCTCCTGCTTGGTCTTCCCAAAAGCCGTACTGCACCCCTACAGTCTGTAATGAATGCTGCTGCTAGACTGATTTTCCTCTCTAGTCGGTTCTCTCACACCTCACCCCTCTGCCAGTCCTTACATTGGCTTCCTGTGTGCTATAGGAGTCAATTCAAGGCACTAACTCACACCTATAAAGCACTGAACAACTCTAGCCCCTCTTATATCTCCTCACTGATCCACAGGTATGTCCCTTCTCGGTCTCTCCGCTCTGCCCGTGACCACCTCCTGTCCGTTGTCCGCACCCGTACGGCCAACTCGCGCTTGCAGGACTTCTCGCGGGCGGCTCCCTTCCTATGGAATAGCCTGCCTACCGCCATCCGACTCTCCCCTAGTCTTGCATCTTTTAAGAAGTGCCTTAAAACCCATCTCTTTAGGAAAGCTTATGGCCTCCAAGACTAACCCCTACCTCACATACCTGTCTCTTGCCCTCTCCTAAAGGGCAGCCCACCTTATTTGATTGCACATTCCTGTCCTAATGTGTTTTACACCCCACCTCCTATAGAATGTAAGCTCGATTGAGCAGGGTCCTCTTCAACCTATTGTTCCTGTAAGTTTATTTGTAATTGTCCGATTTATAGTTAAATCCCCTTTCATAATATTGTAAAGTGCTACGGAATCTGTTGGCGCTATATAAATGGCAATAATAACCAGATAGAATCTTCACAAAGTGGGAAGATAATGGATCGATTTCCAACTAAGTAATGTGTTTACCCCCCACAGAGTTGTTAATTCTGTGCCATGTCTCGTCACTAACATGCAGCTAATAAGTTGGGTTAGACCATACCTGGATTGTCCTTTTTTAAACTAGAGCCAGTGTTGCAGCTTGGAGATCTTACTCAACTAAGGGTAAGAGTGGTATAAAATACAGTGGTTGCCAATCATCCAAGATTTAAGCATTTTCAGTTTAAATGGAGATACTGACAAAATCAGAACATGTGAGAGACCCAGTATTTATATAAAAAATACATAGGTTATGGGCACAGGTTTGTATTGGTTGTAATGCAATTGTTTAACGGTTTGCTTTTCCAACTAATACCTGATTTAAATCAAAGCCAAGATGACATGAGTTGGAGCAAAAAGGGAAACCCTGCAAGCTAGGATAGAAGTGAAATAAAAAAAAAAACCTACCCACTCAACAGTAGCCAATACCCATTGAAATTAAATACATAGACTACTGTAGTGCCCCTCTAGCAAATAAAATTTTTATATAAATATATATATATATATATACACACAACTTGCTATTAAAACTTGCTTTGTACTCACCGCTATCTGCCTTTTATCCATCTCTCCTCTTTTATGGTGAAGATCTGAAATCTAGTTAAAGTAAAACTGGATATGCTATGTCAGTGCCTACTAATACAAAAATGATGCCCTTTATATTTTAGAACATAACTGTTCTATGACTTGGGCACCAGTCCTGTCTTGTAATGCTCTTTGCAGATTTAACCGAAGAGAACTAAAAATAGTAAAAAAATTTAACTATTGCCATGTTCTAAAATCCATTAATACATGGTGCAATATATGTAGAATTAAGGGGTGTTTGTTAGAATTGATTCCCTTTATAATCTAATATTTATATAGTATAAACTAATTCTGCAGTGCTTTAAAATATTATGAAAGGGGGGGGGGATATTTACAATAAATGAGACCATTACACAGGAACAATAGGAAGATGAGGACCCTGCTCAAACAAGCATACTCTAGATGAGGTAGGGTACAAACACACAATAGGGCAGCAAGAGTGACAGTCACCAAACAAGGTAGAAAAGTCGCAGAGCTGGAGGTGAGTGAAGTGTGATTCTAGGAGAGCAAGAGCCAGATTTGGATAAGTATAGATAGGTTACTCTGGAAGTCCATAACCATTTCTGAACCTATGTGTTTTGAAGGACTTAAACAATTGAAGACTAGGGGAGAGTTTGATGGGGGTAAGCTGGCTGTTCCAAAGGGAGCCGCCAGTGATAAGTCCTGCAAGCGCGAGTTAGCCGTAAGGGTACAGCCAGAAAAAGGTCACAAGCAGAGAGACTGAGAAGGGAGCTCTAGAATTTGTGTACTATTTTAGGCATTCTATTAAACCCATATATGATTGCTACTTGTTTTATTTCCTATGACCTTAAGATCATTTGGTGACTACAATCTGAAGTGCACAAGGAAAACAAACAGTCACTTCTAGCACATACACCATTGAATAAAACATCACAAGTCACCTTTATCCTGTGTTAACCTTTTTGATATAATACTTTATATTCTTTTAAAATGAATATCAAATAGCTTAGCCAGTACTGTCTAGGCAACGTGGCTGAAAATTGGACATTTTGCTGTAGCTGCGCAAAACTGATGATCGTAGTTGCAATCTAATCCTTTCCCATAGGGAAGTAGGCTAGTGTGGATGAATAGCAAATTACCTAACTGCACCAACATTTGAATGAAAACAGAGTCTGACAATCCGTTCTCACAGGGGAAGTACCTCTAGTAGCAGTCAGGGTGACAACCACTGGAGGTGTGTTAAATCCTGCAATGAAAAGATTGCAATTTCTACAAAAATGTTTTACACAGCAGAGTTAAAGAGACACTATAGTCACCAAAACAACTTTAGCTTAATGAAGCAGTTTTGGTATATAGATCATGCCCCTGCAATCTCTCTGGTCAATACTCTGTCATTTAAGAGTTAAAAATAACTTGTTTCTGTCCATGCAGCTCTAGCCACATCTCTGACACACTGCCTGCATGAAAAAAGGGTTTAAGTTTCAATGTGATGTTAACTTTGGTTTTTATCTCCTGCAGGGGCTAGAAGACTAATAACAGAGTAAGAGAAAAATTCTAAGTTAAACAGAATGCGCAATAAAGACAGTGTAAACATTACATGTCTCTTCACATGAAGTGTTTAGGAAGGCTGTGCAAGTCACATGCAGGGAGGTGTATAGGACACCTAAATAGCAAAGAATTGTGCAGTGAGACTGCATGGGCATGATCGGTACCGCAATACTGCTTCATTAAGCTAGAGTTGGTTTGGTGCCTATAGTGTCCCTTCAGCAGAAGCAACCCATTGGTTAATATGCACTATCCACAAAGAAATCTACAGGTTTTATTGAAACGTCTGGGAATCCTATTGATTAGTTTATGACAGAGTTAAATCACTTTGCTTATGCTGCCCTAATCACACCTCCATGCATGTGACGTGCACAGCTTTCCTAAGCACTTCCTGTAAAGAGTCATCTAATGTTTACACTTTCTTTATTGCAAATTCTGTTTAATTTAGAATTTCTTATCTCCTGCTCTGTTAGTAGCTTGCTAAACACTGCAGGAACCTCCTGTTTGTGATTAAAAGTACAATTTAGAGAGCATGAGATACAAACTTTTAAAGAAAGTTACATCTGATTGAAAATTAAACTTTTTAATTCCATGCAGATTGTGTCAGTGACAGACAGGAGAGATGTGGCTAGGACTGCATAAATAAAAAACAAAGGTGATTTAACTACTAAAGGGTAGAGAATTGAGCAGTGAGACTGCAGGGGCATGATCAATACACCAAAACTGCTTCATTAAGCTGAAGTTGTCTTGATGCCTGTAGTGTCCCTTTAATTTACTGGTTTTGGTGTTTAGATCATGCCCCTGGAGTCTCACTGTTCCACTCTGCCATTTAAGAATTAAATCACTTTGGTCTTTGTTCATGCAGCCCAAGCTATACATCACCTGGCTGTGACTACATCCTACATGAAAAAACGGTTTCCACTTTTAGTTGGATCGGACAAGCACAGTGTGGTTACCTAAGGTTTTATTATTACTACCATTATTGGCATTTATTTAGCACCAACTTATTCCATAGTGCTGTACAATATTATAAAGGGGGAAAATAAACCATACATGAGACAATTACAAAATGTTACAGGAACAATAAATTGACGAGGACCCTACTATAAAAAACAAACAAACAAAAAAAACTTACAATCTAGACGCGGTGGAATGTAAAAACACAATAGGAAGGGCAGCGTGGAGGATAGCAAACAAGCAGCAATGTGGGAGAGTAGCAGAAAAGGAGCTCTATAAGCTTTTTTTGTAAAGATGGGTTTTGAGGGACTTCTTAAATGATTGAAAACTAGTGGAGAGTCTGATGTGGTTGACAGACTGTACCAAAGGAAAATAGCTGCCCTCGAGAAGTCCTGCAAGTGCGAGTTTGCAGTATGGGTGCGAGCAGCGGACAGGAGAAGGTCACCGATAGAGCAGAGAGACCGAGAAGGGGCATACCTAGGAATTAGTGAATAAATGTAACAGGGGTTAGAGTTGTTTAAAGCTTGATAGGTAAAGTTTAGAATTTTAAATTGACTCCAATCGGGTACAGGAAGCCAATGTAAGAATTAAAAGAGGGGCAAGGTGTGAGAAGTGCAATGCGAGAGAAAAAAAAGAGCCTGGCAACAGCATTAACTATGGAGACACCGAATGAATGTTTGGAAAGATAGGACGAGAACCACAAGAGGATAGTGTTACAGAGACATAGGGATTGAAGAATTTGTCAAAGAAGGAGATGATCAATGTGCCGAAGGCAACAGAGAGGTCTAGAAGAATTAGTATAAAGTAGTGGCCTTTGGATTTAGCAGCGAGTAGATTGTTTATTACTTTAATCAGAGCTGTCTCAGTATAATGGACGGGTTGGAAAGCCTATTGAAGAGGGTTAAAGAGAGAGTTGGAATTGAGAAAGAATGCCAGACAGGTAAAGACAAGTCGTTCCAGAAGCTTTGAGGAGCATGGGTATTGGACGGTAATTAGAAGGGTAAGATGGATCAAGAGATGGCTTTGTCAGAATGGGTAGGACAGTAACATGTTTAAGGGGAAAGGGGACAACGTCAGAAAAAAGAGAGCGGTTGAAGATATGCGTTAAGGATGAGATCTGATCAGAGATCTGATGAGGTGAGATGGGACAGGATCAAGTGGACAAGTGGTGGAATGAGAGGAAAGAAGCGTGCCATCTCCTGTTCAGTAGACGGGGAGAAGGCCTCAAGGGTAGGAAACGCACTGTCCAAGTGCAATGGAGACAGAGAGAAATGAAGAGGGAATAATTATTTCCTTAACTGGTTGATTTTGTCAGTAAAATAGCATGCAAAGCTATTGGCCGAAAGGTTAGTTTGGAGGTGATCAGAACAAAGCAAAGAAAAGAGTTGAAGGTATTAAAGAGACACCTGGGATCATAAGAGGAAATGATTGTTTAGCAGGGGTGAAGAATGCAGTGTACAAACACAAGATGAATTTGTAATGCAGAAAGTTTGACAAGGTGTGAAATTTCCTCCAGCAGCGCTCAGATGAATGGGAGCATCTCTGTAGATAGAAAGTTTACTTTGTATGCCATGGTTGGACGCATATCCTTCTTGAGGTGTATTTTTGGTGCGGGCTGCAGTGTACAGGGCTGAGGTATGGGAGGAGATGGGCAGAGAGGGACGGGAGAAAGTAGGGATGGATCAGAGTTGAGAATCAGTTGATGGAGGTCAAGATAATTCAGGTTTCTCCAGGCTCAGAATGTTGGGTGAAGGGGCTCTCAAGAACAAAAAAGATAAGAGGAGGTGATCTTAGAGAGGAAATGGAGTGTTACAGAGAAAAAAATAAGATTGAAGGTACTGCCAGCTACATATACTGTAATTAGTCCACTGGAATAGCCCAAGGGAGGAAGTGAAAAAAGTTTTGAGGCTCTTGAGGTCAAGGGTGGATTAATTGAAATGTTGAATTTGCAGAATTAGAGGTGGAATATTACTTGATGTAGGAAAGCCATGCAGGAACAGAAGAGGGGAACCAGGGGCTAGGGGGAAAGTAAATAATGGCAATGAGAAGAAGGGGAGGAGGTGAGTAGATGTTTGAAGGAGCAGTGGATTAAAATCAGAAACTCTACCCACCCCACCACTCTTACTGTCAGATTGTTTGGCTCTCCTCTGTGTGTCGCTTTATTTCTCCCTCTCTCTGGCATTCTCTCCTAGCCAGCAATCACACACAATCACACTCAACCAGCCTTCCTTTATTGAGGAAAATTAAACAGCTATGTATTCGTGAGTGTATATGTGAACCTGTAAGCGATCAGGACTAAAGCAAGGAATGGTCTGGATGGTCGGGGTAATTTCGAGTCGCCATGCCAAAAAAAGTTTGTGAGACATTGCTCAGGTCCATGCAGACTGACACTTTATTGGCATTTTATTTTGCGCTCATAATTATGTGAAGCTCCTGAGCAATATAGAGGAAAGGTAAACAATTCCCCGGCATTTATCCTGAATGGGTAATTTTCTAATCAATTTTTATAAATCCTCCATTGAGAACAGGCCAGTAACATTTTAATTCACCAATACATTCTCCTTAGATGGTTAGAACATTTAATTCAATGCAAGTGTCTTTCCTACTGATTAGCTATTTATTTAGTATATTTGTATTTTTAATTGGCAAATCTGGTGTAGAAATTAGTATGGTAGAAAAGTGAAAAAGTTATGCATTTGCATCGATGGATTAAAAATTAATTAAAAATTACAGAAATAAATTAAAACCAGTCACCAGTCTAAGCACATTGATTTCCTTACAGTAAACTGCAATGGAATATGTTCACGTTGTATAAATTATATTAACAATAATTATATCGTTCTAGCTTTCACCAATGTATGTTGACAGATGGATAGTCCCTTTATATGGCAAGCTTTCAGATACATTAAGTTCTATAATCACTGTTCTGGGCTACTACTTTAGTTCGGTTTCAAAATCACACAAACTATATCCAAAATCCATAATCATTCTACATTAAAAAGGATACAAGTGAGGTACTCCAGAATAGTAACATCCCATATGTATTCATAGTAAGAATCCATTGCATCATGACTGTGGGGGGGGAAAAAACAAAACACAAAATATAACATTTCTATCCACATAGCTGATTACGTCAAGATTAATTACACCGTTGTTCTTCAAACATGGACAAGGATTAAAGGCTACTAGGTATATAGCAGGATATTATCACATTTGCGCCTGTTGGCAAATCTGAAAACCTGTGAACTTTGGGTGGGATTTAGAAAAGTTTCACAAGCATAAAAATAGTGCAAAGTTCTAGAAGTAGAGAAATGATGAAGGAAACTAAGAATCACCAGGACCGTTCTACCAGTTTCTATGGTGATGGCTCCATGTTTAGAACTTTGCACCAACATCCGTTTACAGAACTTGTAAAAACTTCCCCCCATATGGTTTATTCAATAACTGCCAGGGTTTGTCTTTAATATAGCCTAGAACAATTCACAGTAGTAGATGTAATATTCACTTAATCCATATACACTGAGCAGATCTTTCTGATTCCGAATTCCAAATGACTAAAGAACCTGACTAAGCAACTACTGCCAGCCACCAAAACCAGGGTTCACAGCTGAAAGAATTGCAAATCTCTATATGCTACAGCTCACCCATTTTCTAGAGCATTATATATAATTGTTTCTAGAGGATTACAGGATTGATAATCAAGGATTTTGCTATGAATCAAAAAGGCTGGACATGTCAACTTTTCCTTTGACTGTAAAACTAAAAGCTTATATCTCACTCTCTAATCGGGAATTCTCATTTGATCACTTCCTCTCTGTACCAGTTTAAAGTAGAACTGTCACTAGTAAGATTTTGTCATTGTTTTGTAAAAGTTTAAATGATTTTAGGTCCAACTGAAATGCCCACAAAAGTTAAAAAAAAACAAACAAACAAACCCAAAGAATGTATTTTGACCATCAAAGGGTGTTTACTCATATAATGTTTTATGACTCCAGGCAGAGGAAAGACCTGAAAAAGAATGTCTGAATAAGACATTGTTAGAATGAACGTGTTAAGGAGGTGCTAAGCGTATTTCTTTACATCACTTAATCCATTTGGCACTCTGGCTGTTGGACATTTGGTTGCCTGAGTATCATAAGATTCACAGAACTCAACAATATGCCAAAGGTTAGGGTCATTCTCACTACTCTACAAGAGGAGCTCTAAGCGGTGAGTGGAATTAGTGTACAGATTGTTGTAACCCCATTTTCCAGAGTACAGTATTACCTGTTCTGTTCTTGCAGAGCTTTGAATGCTGTTTTATAGTCAATTTCTCTAAGAAACTGACAAAGTATAGCCACCTGTAAAGAAAATAAACAAAACAGATTACGTAATTCACAAATACTAGTTTACTAATAAAAGACCACTGAAACCAGTTTGATAGCCCATACTGTGAGCTTTAAGCAGACAATTTGGATTACGTGGTACACAGATGATGCATGTAGCTAATTCACCATAAAGACACTCAGAGATGTGCAAACATTGATAACCTAGGCAAGTGTTGGCCCAAGTGCCCAAACTGCAACTCAAAACCAACTTATTTATCTCAAAGGGAAAGTGGGAGCAAAGTGAACAGTCTTTTCTTGGACTAAGTATTTGATCATTTTATTGTAGATTTTGTTTGCACACTTAAGGCTGTATTGTTATTTACTTTAAGACTATGAAAATGTTTTGGTGTCAGTCAGTTAGTTTCCCCAGGACCAATTATTAAGGGGGGTTGGTAGATATTTAAAAATCTCTCAAAATGACTTTCATTTGAAAGTTTAGATATTTTGTAGAGCAAAGTTGTGTTGAAGACAAAAACAAAACACAGTCACCCCCCAATATCTCTAGATACTCACTTGTGTGTGGCAGTTAAGCAGAGAACAGCACTTGATCATTCTTTTAATCACCTGTCGATTAAAAAAAAAAAAGGAAAGCCAGTCTATAAAAGGCCAGACAGATGGTTGTAGAGAGGATTTTTTTTTAGGAAGGTAAAGAATAATTTATATACGCACAGAAGAACTTCATATTCTTATGTGTGTGTATATAAATTATTATTTCCCTTTCTAAAGAAGAGGCTCTGACAATAAGGATTAAGATTCTGATCTTATCCTACAAAACATTGTACAGCGGGAGATTACTACCCCCCCCAGTATTTATGTGATATGATGAATTAAACTGATAAATAAGGTGGTAGCCATACTGCAGCTTTACACAGTGATTGAGACAGTTACTAGACTATTTGGTGAATGAGGCTAACCACAACCTTCACAAACTCAGTCCTGGATTGTGTTATCACGAGTAAGGGCACAGCAAGAACATGTCATACAAATATTTGAATGATCAAAGGAGGAAATATAAAATACTCTTGTCATCAATAGGATAAGAGACAGCCTATAAGCAGCCTAAAAGGACACTCTTTGAACACACCGGGTACCTTCACAACTTATTTGCATAGGATTAGTATTGCTAAGAAATTTTGGAGCTTTCTGCAGTGCAACTCCTCCCTCTTAGCCACGCCTCCACTTTTGGCAAAGCAGCTTCCTTACTAGAAGAGCTCAGAGTATTCGTACCCAGATCATAGTGAGCAGTTTCAAATGTATCTCTGAGCCACAGCCCTTCACTGTCCTCTTAGGTAGACATTTGTGAAAAAATGTGAAGTGTGGCTTTAGGGATTTACGTTATGCTGCAGACAACATGCATGCAAAGGGGCAAACAAAGCATGAATATGAGGTCAAATTATATTAAACATATGTTGTATATTTGTTCAGGGTGTTTATTTCCTGTGAAGCAAGAAAATGGGAAAGATTATGGGGCTAAATATTAGTGTTTTAGATAATGATTAAATACTGGTTACAGCTTCTTTATTTTCATTGCTAAACAAGTTTTGCCTGGCCACCAATGGCTCCTGCAACCGACCATGAATTTTCATCTCAGTAACCAGGATATACGAAGTTTTGGGCATGGCTGTGGAGTCAAAGTTGGAGTAGTTTTGGGGAGTTTTTATGCTTAAAGGGTTGACTGATACGCAGGCATATATGGTAAATTGTAATACAGTAATTGTGATATAAATACATAGAAGGAGCCAGGGAGAACAAATTGAAGTGTCGGAATAAAATGCTTTGTCTACGGATTCCACAGCACTGGTTTTGTGGTTATCATTGATAAATACCTAAGCCCTTTGTAGCTCCAGGTTCAATATCAGGAAATCGGCTTAGATGGGTGGGTGTGGGAGCTGAGGGCATTGTGATGTGTGTTTTCAGATTAATACATAACATAAATGAAGCAAATTTGGTAAGGTAATAAAACTTATTTTTATTATTATTTTAGCGTTTATAGCGCCAGCAACTTCTGTAGAGCTGTACAATGGGATAGTCTATTAATCTGCACAGTGCTCTCACTTCTTTTTTAAAGCCTGCAGATTTCTTTTAAAAATAGGTAACATTCCATCACGATGAATCTTTGAATTCTAAAACTCCATTATGTCTCAAAGTGCATGTCAGACAATATATTTTATTTCATGAACTTGCATTTTGGTTTTCCCCATTTTGAGTGAGGATGAGGATTATCATAACAAGGATTTTTTAATAAAAAGGAACAAGAAATAGACAGAGTTATTTACTGAACTTTGAATCATTGGGACTCCAACAGGGGACTGTAAATCAGACCAAAACAGCTGGGATAGGACAAAAAACAAAACATCTATTTTTCCCATTTTATATATTTTGACCCAATCTTGAAAAAGTCCTTGTGAATTCCCCAAGATTCCCAATTTTGTGAGAAGCCTTGTTAGGCATTAAATAACCATTTACAAGTCAACCCAGAAACGTGTCATTTAATCCTCTTTTGGCAAAAAAATTGAAATATCACAAATCGAAAGACACAGCAGGTGATATACTAGATACTGAATTGTAGTGAACTGAACTGCACAATTTAGGCTACAATAACCAAGCTGTTACTATAGCAGAGTTGGAGTTTTTAATCAGCTATTTTAGATAAAATGTAGTAATTCAATTCTCAATTCACTACAGCGCTGTATTTTGTTAATAAACCGTAGCAGTAAAAACATAGCAGTGTCCCTTGCGCAATGCAGCTGTATATTTCATGGACTCACCTGGTCTGTATAAACTTCAGGTGGAACTTGCTTAGTAAAAAAGTCAGAACACACCGCACCTGCTTGGAGGTAGTAATTTAAAGCAGCCGAATACTGATTGGAGGCTGTAAAGTGAAAGAAAGGAAAAGTAAGTAAGAGGCACCACCTTAAAATAGAAATGCAAAATGCAGGTCTAAATATACGCTGTATATAACCCTGACCAAACACGATTTTTACCCTGCAACAAAGCCTAGCCATTCTTGCTAACTATAGTTCTACACATGGCTTGCTAAAACTATATTTAAATCCAGGAATTTGCATCTGGGCTGCAATTTAATGCCAATGACTCCCAGGTGATCAGATTGACATTAACGAAAGGTGTAAACCAAAAATCTGGACATACACACATATGTTCCTAGTATGAACATATAGTACAATCCTTCCCCGACATGTTTGTTTAGCGGATACATCAATTGGAATGTTTGGGTAACCCAGAATGCTCTGGGATTTGCTACTTGATAATAGGTACCTCAGTCCCATCCTTCCTTCATCCATTACATTGCTGCTGGCCACAAGCAATCCATGTCAATAATCTGCTCTCTAGGTTAGCAGTGCACTCGCATTGCTTATTTTATGGCTAGTGCTTCATCACAGGTATATTCAGTAAAAAGCAACATTTCCTAGAACGTTTATAATAATCTTTTAACTTTTGGTTGAACATATGGAGTATGATAATGACTTACTCTGCAATGAGACCCCGTTTTTTTTTTTAATAATTGATTATTGATATTTGCCAAAACGTTTCACAGCACTAGAGATACGTCTTTTGTAGGTATACTTTGAAATAACCGCTTCTTTGGCAATATGATGTGATGGTAAGATGCTCTTAACTGTTCTTGACACAAAAGTCAATGTGGGAAACCGGTAAGGCATTATGAACTTTCAAACAAATCTGTCTTCTACTCTACTTTATTTATTAAACATTAACAGAATAAAGTATTTGTGATATTTGTGATATTTCCATGTGCTCCATTTATAAAATTAGCAATATTTGTATGTATTTGTTCCTAAGCATATAAATAATAACCCCTCCCCCCAAACAATACACACAAAACACACAGGTACTATAACCACTACTGTTTATTTTAGTGGTAATGTTGCAATGAACTAAGATTGCAGACACGCCAGAACCATCCCTTATCCATTCAAGTATCTTGTATGGTGTGAGCATGCAGTACCTGCTCTGTGTGTAAAGAGATCTGGAGTACAGTGCAATGTTCCTGCATCAGATCAATAAGTTCTTTAAGTGGCTGAACATTCACATTGAAACTTTAGGAACCCCCAAACGGACAGTGTCTATGTGATAATTCAGCGATGCTGAATGCAAGAATGATCTGAGACAAACAGTTCTTGTTCACCCATATAAGTACTTTTATGGATAATGAGAAAGTTAGATTTCATCATGTTGTGCAAAACAAAAGGGGGTGAAGGGGGCGGGGCCGGGCCGGGCCGCCGAGCTGAGCAGCAGCCATCCATGCCAGCTCCGGCTCTGAATCGCTATAATACACTGAAATACAGCACTAAAAGCTAACCTGAAGCCGGGGCAGACATAAGCACCAAGCGGGGAGAGGCACAGGAGCACAACCTGCCAAACCGACACCGAGCAGCCTGCCCTGCCGGAGCACGATGAACCCATGAGGCCTACACGCAGAAGCAGCGAGCCCAGACGAGAGAGAGGGACCAGGCTAGCGGGGGTGATCCCGCTCCATGAGTCAGTTCTCTGGAGACTGGAGGCAGAAAACCCAAACATGGCGGAGCCCTTTCTCACGTGGAGTCAAGATGGGCGCGGAACACGCTCACTACTGGGAGCCACGCAGGGACGCCTGGACCCTTAGGGGTGGCGGATCCCACAGACGGACTCCACCGGGCGGCGCAGAGCCGGCCCTAACCCCTGGATTTGGTGGTGGTCCGGGGAGGCCTGGCCCTGACTCTGTGAGCCCTATGGTGTCTGGGTAAGTTGTACCCCCGGCAGACCGGTGGCCAGGGAGACAAGTGCCGGCGACATGCAAGAGGCCGGAGAGGGGTGAGGCCTAATGGGGCTGGAGCTTGACGGGGAACTGCAGGAGTTGGGGAGGTGCAGGGGACGAGGGGCCCGAGGACTTTTCAGGCGGGGGAGTCTGCCGGGCTGCTGACGTCCCTGAGTGCCCAAAGCATTGTGGAACCCTCGAATGACCGGCCGAAGCAGGCCTGGAGGGAAACAGTCACACCAGGGGAGCTGGGGGGACCATGCAATGAGTGACCAGCTTGGCAATCATATGCACTCCAGGCATAAGCCTGCAAGAGGACACAGCAGAGGAAAGCCCGCACAGATACCTCACAGGAGGCCACTGACCTCACGCTGGACATTCTTTACCACCGGGCACCACAACGCCACCTCCAGTGGAGAGACTCCCCTATTATGGTTTCATAGACCCAGATTAGGATACACCTTGTTACTGAAGTTTTTTTTTTATTTTTTTATTATGTATTTAATTTTTATTTTCATTTTTTATGTTTCTACATTAATTTCATGGCATACCTATTCTGTAATTAACCAGAAGAAGCTATAACGACCATGGATAAGCTTTATCTTCGCTTCAAGATACCTGATTAATATAATACTTCTGCCAAATACGTTAACCCTACCATACGCTTAAACAACGGTTTGAGCTTCTATACAGCATTTATAGTTGTAGTGTTATTTTTTAAAGTAATCCTTTACACTCATTACTAATCTAGCAACCGTACACACCTGATAGCAGAATTAAATGTTAAATACTTACATGTGTGTACCTTGGCCTAAAACTGAATATGCTCTATAAGGTACACTACAGGCATAGGTTATTTTGCAGGGGAAATTGATTACACATGATTAAGGATTGCGGTTAACGCCCCAGTTTGCTACACGTTTTACACAAATCAGCTGCCATGCTAAGAGGATGGTCCAGGAGAACATAGATATACATATATATTCTCCAAGCATTGGTATGCAGCGGATATAATGCTACTTAGCCACTGCATATACAGAAGTAATGCGTTATATATGATGATAAATTGAGTGACTGTTTGGTAATTGAACTAGATTCAGTTATGCTCATATTATTTGATGTTTATGATTCTGCACAGGTTATTATGCACCCTACGGGGTCAGTCATCTAAAGTCTGCATTTACTCTGCAGGGCAAATTGCATATATAGGGTTAATAATTGCCTCATTACGCAATCCGCAACGTACGTAATCAGCACTGCATTAGAATGCTCATGAAGTGTTAATGACTGATGTTATACTGTAAAGCTACAACAGGCCTCTGCGTAGGCCCATGTACCCTAACTCATATATTTCAAAATGAGCCTCTGCGCAGGCAACGCCACATTTAATTTTCTCCTTGTTGTGAACCTGCTATCATACTACAAACAAAATAAAAAACCATTTAAAACAAAACAAAAAGGGACTCTGTTTAAATAAATAAAGTGAACCACCCCCCGCCAGAAAAATAACTTAGCATACCAAAATATATATCAGCCTGAATAGTGAGCCAAGAGTGATTGTTTGGATTTATTGTTAAAGTGTACGTCACCAGTTCTTTCACTGTCACAGAAACGGCATCAACATCTACAGCCTGGGGGCTGAAAACAAAGAAAATTAGAGCACTGAGGAAAACATATACATAAATTTAGATTGTTTTCTTTTTAAACCAAGATGGTAAACTGCTTAAAATTCAGAAATAATGATTTTAATATTCGGTACAGACTATGTGCAGTAAGAAGCACTGAAGCCGTCTATAGATAAAATGCAGGGAGCATTGTATAGACTATGTGTAAAGTGAGGTAACGTAAATCTGTATTTCTGTATAGATGATATACCACAGTTGCACTGAAGCCGTCTATAGATAACATGCAGGGAGCACTGTATAGACTATGTGTAAAGTGGGGTAACGTAAATCTGTATATATGATATGCCACGGTTGCACTGGAGCTCCGTATTGACTATGTGTCCTTAGCAGTGGGAGACACTAGAGCTCTGTACACACTAAGTGCAGGGGAAACACTGGAGACATTTACATGGCAACTCCACCAGTGATAAGGTTTAAAATATATTTATACATTTTACATGAGAAGGGAAGGTCTTACTTTGGAATGGCTGAAGGCCAGATGGAAATGTACTCGGCGGTGATATCATTCACGATGTCTTCCTGCAGAAAAACAATTATACAATGTCCATACAAATCTACTACTTTTATTGATTAAACGACAGTTAAAAACACATCTCATACCTACCAGGAGATTATGGAGCTTGACAAAGAGAGACAGCAATGTTGTCAAAACCAGCGGTTCCTAAAACATATGTAATGAAAACGTTAGGATTGCTGTGGAAACACAATTTCTCACATTTCAGTGCCAAAGGGGGACTTTCCAAAGTCCAGCCAGAGATATACAGGTGATGCACACTGTCATTTTTTATATGCACTGTTAGCTTTATTGTGCTTGGCCTCACCAAAATCTGTTTAGCACCTGGCTAGAAGACATGTAATGGAATACCAAAAATGTCTGACGTAAACTTCTGAAAATAAAGTGAGTTTTACATGCTTTCTATTGAACAGAAAACGGATGATGAGCTGGCTAATATATGCACAGTATGGCTTACATTTCATTCTCAACATCAAAATGTCAACCAATTCTTGAGTCTTTGGATCTGGTCACAAGTTCTGAGGCATTTTAGAGATGTGCAGACCCACCATATTAAACAGATGTATCGGACTGTGTTCCAACTTAGCTCATCATAGGTCTATTGGAAACTAGCACTTGATGGTTTACCCCAAATTGGAAAATACACACAATGTTATGAGGCAAACAGGTGAAATATATGCACCATAGCAGTAGTGTGACTCAAATAGTGCTAGAAATGGATACTGGTAGCAAAACATGTCATCAAAGGCATCTGTCATGATTTCACTAGGTGATAGATCTTGATATTCACATATTTACAGGCTGTAAAAGCTGGATTCATAGCATGACTACATTAGCCTGAATTATGTGATTTAATTGTTTTTCAATTCACAGTTTAGTGAATGAACTATTAAAAATACTATATGTGTACTTTTAAAACAACTAAAAGGTACATATACAGCACTGGGAACAAATTGATGTAGTGTTTAGAAAGGTTAAAGTGGTACTGTTACAATTTCTACAAAATCCTCACTAAAGTGACATTCAAGATTTTTTTTATAACTGAATCTTCTGTCTTGCTGAACTGCACACCATAAAACCAGGCTGACCAATTTAAAGAAATAAGTGGAGTAGAACTGACTGACAAAACCTTAAATATTCCCCTTGCGGACAGATGGTCCACTGCAAGAATATGCAAATCATGGGGGTGTTCTATTACAACCCAAAACGTTCTAGAACAAACTTTTTTTAATGGAACCATCCACACAATGCATTAAAAAAATGGAGGTTAACTTCAGTCTGGTGTGTCCCTTTAAGTATTTTTGTGATTAAAGGAACACTCCAAGAGTATAGTACAAGTAGTGCCCTCCCCCTATCAATACAGTCTTAGAGAAATATAAAATAGATGAATACATTTCTTTGCAATTTAGCATGCTCAATGCAGTTGATATTTTCTGCATCAAGAAAGTGCAACAATGTTATGCTGAATGATAGCTGAACTTAAATATACATAAAATAAATTCTGATTAGCTGAAGAAAACAAAATAAAAAGAAGATTATGAAAAGAAATAATAAATTAAAACAGTCTCATACCAGTCACAAATATGACCATAACCATTCTTCTGTATGAATCAATCATTGATATGCTCTGTATACTTCCATTAATCTATGCAGTAACAATCAATTAACGGAGGAGGCCAATGCTTTACACAAATACAGAAGCAGTACACAACCTCTTCTGCAGACTAACAGTGCTAGAGAGTAAAAGAAGTAAATATTCCAGGAATAGCATCTATCCTCTTTAGTCTCTAGCAAGACTTTAAGAGTAATAGTATAAACTCTGCAAAGATTAGAAGAGTCCAGTAATAGATTCCAAGATGGATAATTACCAGACTTCCAGCTGTGGGCAAACAAACTCCTACAATCCTTTACCAAATAAAACGCAAAAGTGGCAGGTATAGGTAACAGACGTTGCAGAGGGCTAAAAGCTGCTATGGGAATATCCTTGTGTTAGGTCATACAAATACAACTATAATTACAGTATAAACAAAACAGAGAAAAGAAAAAAAAAAATATGCAATAAATAAATTAATAAAAAGAAGCACTTTTAACGGACACAAAAACTTTCATACTTACACGTAACTTCTTTAAAAAAAAAAGTAGTTCACTCCTGGGAAAGGAAAAAAAAAAAAATATTAAAGAGATAAAAAAAAAAAAAAAGAAAATATAAAAAAAATTTCTGTAAACATGAAAAAAAAATAAAAAGCATGATTTCGATTACATCCTAAGAACACACACACACATTTTATATAGTGTACAGCCTATTAAATCTGAACAAACTGGACAAAAAGTTTTACAGAAGTAATTTTAACCTATTACATAAGTCTTCTTGCCCTTCCCACCTGAAGGATGAGCTATCTCTCATAATGAACTCCTGGCACAAAAAGATAAAATGTAAACCTCAGTCACATACCGATACATGATACCCATTGTAGAATCTCTGTTCTTTATCAGACTGATCCTGCCATCATTGCCCCGCTTGTGCTGATTGGAAACACTGCATATCTGTACGACCACCTCCCATAATTCTTTAGCCGTTCTCCTGCTATCTGGACCAGATAGCTCCTTACACGTGGCAGACAATAACTGTCCCAGCTGCAAAAGAAGATCACACAACTGGTTAGTTTGCTTAGTGGCCAGAGTATGGAAATCCATTTGCACCAATATTGGTTAAAATACCAAAATGCCCCCCCAAAAAATACAACTTTTATTTCATATGGATCAGGCCTGTGTGTGGCCTGCTTTTCCTGAAGTCTTGCCGTTTTAGAGGACATACAAGATATTTCTAACACATTTGAGACCATAAAGAATACTGTGAAATACATTCTCTCTATATGAATAAAATAAACAAAGTCATTTCAGTATTTGGATATAAAAATAATAAAAATAAATAAAAATAATAAACTCAAAATATGCAGATTTATCTGAATTTTCCTTCAGCTTGAAACTTGTATCATCAGTTTTACATTTACTGGCACGATAGAGACAAGACTGCAGAAATGAAATCGCTTTTTTAATAATTGAATGTTCAAAAAGTCAGATGACGTTCTTACCTTCACGTAGGGATTACTCTGTACCAAGGACAATGGCACTTGCAGGGTTAGGTATTCGTTCTCTCTCCAGTTAAGCAGGAAGGCAACACATTCCTCTGCTACAATCTGCCGACTAGGAATATCTGTTCAGTGTTCAACCAAGGAAAAGCACAGTATATCAACCACGTGAGTTTGAGCTACTTTCGAATCGATGACCAACTTTCGAAACCCAGTACTAAAAACACCACGAACTTCATCTGCACACACGTCTGCTTTTATAGAGTAGCTTAAAAGTGTATTTTCTATCGTTTTTTTTTTTTTTTTCCTATACATGACAATACATTACTGCACCTTTGTAGCCACTTAATTATATTAATCACCACTGCCATGGTTTCAAGGATTATTCACTAAACCTCTTGTTTAATAATCTGCATAATACAAGATCATGTTCAGTACTATTTGTAAGTCAATTTTTTTTTTTTTTTTTGCAAAATACAAAACTTTGTTTTTGACCATTTTACACTAGCCAGTTCATCCCAATGTATCCAGATTCTATGTAAACCCCCTGCACTGATTGTATGAGCTTATCTAATGTCCCATCATCTGCCAATACTTAAACTTAGTTTTTAATGCGGAGCATCACTGCAATGTGAGATAAGCCCTGCACTCAAACAACCCTGCTCGACAGTAAATTACACTTTATATGGAAACCTTTGTGCAACACAGAGCCTCCAGAGTTTGAACGGGTTAAGGCCATTAATGGAGAACTTTAACTGTCCCTTCTCAGGATCTTTAATATTACGTTCACTTGTATCTAAATTTAACAAATATGTATTTCAGTGTGAAAGAAATTGATTGCAGTAACCCACACCTCTTTATTCTGCAGCTGAGTGCCTCCATACTGATACCCTGTCAATCATTGCTATAAGCTTTTTCACCTGGTAGTCGGTATAGAGAAAGCATACAGAGAAGAATACGTATCTGCTTCTCATTTGCAATGTTTGCCGAGGGCTTTGCCTTATCTGAATGTTTTTTTTTCCTGCTAAATCTTTAATAAAAAATTGAAACAAACATACTGTATAAAAAAAAATGTTTTATCCAATAATGTTAATTTAAGAGAAATGACAGATTCCCTTTAAATAATGTTGACTATATCACCCCTTTAAATAGGGATGCTAATAAAAAGTTCAAAATGTGCAAGGTTTAAAAAAAAAATAAATGTAGCTGCCCTGATTGGATTTACATCAATAATGCAAAATAATAATATAAATATAAATAAAATCAAACCAAAAAACACCTTTACCTGGTATCCGCATTTCCAGGTAGCCTCGGACTCGGCTGACCAGTTCTGGAGGAAGACGTTCCACCGGGGGGTTCTGCACAGCCTCATGGGTGTAAATGTCAACAAGAAGTAGCTCATTCAACATGACCTGGCGCAGCTTAGGAGAAAACTCAGTCACCAGCTCTAAGCAGGCAGACAGCAACTGCTTGGCATAAAGAAAATCCTAGGAATGCACACATTGATATAGTAAGAAAGTAACAAGAGAAAACAGGCACAAAACAGTTCTGACCACAGGTATTGTGTCAAACTGGAGGAAGACCAGTTAACTGAGCTGCTGATCCAATATTAGACAGCTACGGTTTGAAGATTGGTATAAGCACCCAGACTATTATCATGCATTATATGTGAGACATCAACTTTAGAATTAGGTAAGTAAGGTGGGGCACGGGGCAGAGGAACATATTAGGGTTAGGAATATATCTTTGTATTCCTAACACTAAAGTGTTTCTTTAAAAGGAACCTTTAGTGGCGCCCCCACCCCTAGTGATGAAAGGGTTAAAAAAACATTTTGTCAATTACCTCAATCCATGCAAAGCATGAGGACGTCCAGTGGTAGTTAGGTGACCAAAAGGCCACTATAGGTGGAGTTAACCCTCAAAAGGTAAATATTGCAGTTTATCAATAACTGCAATAATTGCAATTGCAGGTTTAAACAGACAGGAGCACTGCACCCAGGCCACTTCAATGAGCTGTCTGGGTGCCAATAGTGTCTCTTTAAGTAAAGATCTCTTTATCTCTGCCAGGAATAAAAACAAACAAAAAACGAATGGATCACCCTGCGGAAAAAAACACTCAACAGTAACCTCTCTCTGAGGATATTTCATGTATTCAAGCAGAGCCGGATTAACATAGGGGCTGATGGAGCTGCAGCTCCAGGCCCATGCGCATTTCTAAAAAATAAATAAATAAATTACTACTACTCTTCACATGCTTTTGCTTAAGTATGGAAGGGATATAGGGGAACAAAACTTGGCTGACAATGAAATTAGTTAAGGTAAAGCTGACTTTGTGCACTATGCAAATGCTCTTGCTGCTTCAGTCTCTCAAACTCTGTGGCATGCCCCCTTTCTTCTACATACACCTTTTCTCTGTCCCAGCCTGTATAACAGGAGCTTCTGCCTGCTAGTAAGAAGGTTAGGAGAGGAGTGGACTAGCGAGTGCTAGAGGACAGTCCTTAGAGAGCGTGGAACAAGCACATCATTAGACTCATTTATGTCTAGCTCAGTTTGCGGTCTGCATACTATGCCCTTAGTTTGCCAGCCTGCATGATTCGCACGCAGCCTGACATGCATTCATGCCAGGCTGACCCAATTCTTCGGGCAGATGTTTTTGGGCATGTTTTCCCCTTTGGGCGGTTCTGGTTACGCGATTCACGTTAGTGGAATGGCCCGCCCTTTTACTCCACCCATCCACATCCTCCTTCACCAGACACTGCTATTAGGATGTATGGATTTACTTGAACGATTAAAGCAAGACAAAGTATGTGTTTTCTTATAGCTATAGCCTGTGAGTTTCCCTCAAGCTCCACCTCTGCCAGATACAGGATGCTTGGGAGGTATAACTGTTTTAGTTTTTTCGGTCAATATGATTCTGAAATTAGGCCCATCATAGCTGTCAGCACCAGTCCCAATGAGCGCTTAACCCCTTCAGTACGGAGTCAATAGTACACGTTCTGATCAAAACAAAATGTAAACAAAAACTGGAATTTGCGCTATATGTCTGTTCAACTGTAATTCACCTCTTTCATATTATATGCACCCACACTTATTATATATCAGTTTGTTCAGGAGAAACAGGGCTTTAATTTCATATCAAATATTTGTATATGAAACATAATTTTTATGAATAAAATCAAAAAATCTGTGAGAACTTTAAATTTTTGTAAAATAAATCTGTAGTTCCGCCTCACATTTTAGCTGTAAATGTCATAATACTGTTAGCTTTTACTGCAAAAAAAGCACATATTTGGATTCAGCAAAGTCTCATGAGTACAACAGTAGCCCCCATAAACAGTGTTTACAGTGTTTTTTTCACTTTTTTCACATTTAAATTTTCCAGATTAGTAATGTTACCTTTGAGACCGTGTGGTAGCCCAGGAATGAGATTTACCCCTATGATGGCATACCATTTGCAAAAGAAGACTACCCAAGGTATTGCAAGTGGGGTATGTTCAGTCTTTTGTAGTAGCCACTTAGTCACAAACACTGGCCAAAGTTAGCATTCATATTTGTTTTTGTGTGAAAAAAGCAAAAAACAAATATTTGGCCAGTGTTTGTGACTAAGCGGCTACTAAAAATGACTGGACATACCCCATTTGCAATACCTTGGATTGTCTACTTTTGCAAATGGTATGCCATCATGGGGGTAATTCTTATTCCTGGGCTACCATACAGTCTCAAAAGGCAACATAACCAATCTGGCAAATTTCAATGTGAAAAAAATTAAATGCAAGCCTTATATTTGACTCTATAACTTTCCAAAACACCATAAAAACTGTACATGGGGGGGTACTGTTATACTTGGGAAACTTCACTGAACACAAAAATAAGTGTTTTAAAACAATAATATCATCAGTAAAAATGCCATTCATTTGTGAAAAATGCAAAAAATGTCACTTTTACTAAAAATATCCTTGTTGTATTACAAGTTACCATTTTGAAACACTAATATTTGTGTTCAGCGAAGTCTCCCAAGTAAAACGGTACCCCCCATGTACAGGTTTTATGGTGTCCTGGAAAGTTACAGGGTTAAATATAGTGCTTGCAATTCAAATTCTCTGCAATTTTGCCTGGGTTGTCAGGCATGTCAATCAAATTTTAACTAATTAAATCACATAATTATGTTAAAATATTCCTAAATATACACGTAGAATTTTAATATATATACATACATATATAATACACAAGATCCAGCGCACTCACCTACTAAACAGCAACTTCAATGTTGAAAGATTTTATTTGTTTTTTTTAAAAACACCTAATCTAGGCAAAAATAATGGGGGTTTAGTTACATTATATGATCATACATTGCATAAGCCTGCCACAACGTCAATGTACCCCATCTTTGGCAGGTCCTACACTAACAGCCTAATGTCTGCTCTTATGAGATTAACCTACTTGGGGAAAGAAATTCCATCTGGGGCTCTCTGCAGTACAAGGCTAAATAGGGCCCTGGGATGAGGCACCTGTGACAGGGAGGGGTGCAAAACCAAGGAGTTGGCTAGACTCCCAAATATATATAAAACAAGAGGGGGTTGGCTGCACTCACCTTAACATGCATAAATGGGGGTGCTGCTGGGGGCCAAATAATACAATACACAAGATGAGATGATAAGGTGAGTGCAGCCAACCCCCTCTTGTTTTATATATATTTTATATATATATAAAAATGCATTTGATCTATTTTAACATGTGGTTTTTTTTAATACTTCCCACTAGCAGGGGGACTGTCTGACATTTCAGACAGTCCCCCTGCTGGCAGATCCACAGCCAGCTATAGGGGGCCATGTGATCGCTCTTTGAGAGCGATCACATGGCTCCCAGGGGCCTCATTTGCCGGGGGAGGGCTGTCTGGGCTGTCATGCAGTCCTCCCGAAGAGGATCGCGGCGGAGGTGAGTACCGCCGTGGTCCTGGGGGCTTAAGCCATTACGGCGTTCTATGCCGCCATAACAGCTTTAAAGCCCATTTAAATGGTGACGGCATAGAACGTCGTAACGGCGTTAATCTGGCCCTGTATACGAGCACATCCTACCAACATCTGGTTAAACTGTCTGGACGAAGAACAAGAAAAAGAGTAAAATCTTGTTATTAGCAGAATTCTGGGGTGTGGAAAGACTGGCGATTAAGCCACTAAAGGGTTAGTAGTCCTCATTCCAGTTATTTCTTTTTTTTTTTTTTTTTTAACCCTTAAAGAGACACTACAGTCACCAGAACCACAACAGCTTAATGTAATGGTTCTCGTGTCTATAGTCTGTCCATGCAGGCTTTTTGCAAACACTGCCTTTTCAGAAAAAAATGCAGTGTTTACATTGGTGGCTAGTAACACCGCTAATGGTTGTCACTCAGAAGGTCACTAAAGGTGCTTCCTGTGTCAGTGCTGAACAGTGTACAGCACCTACGCTCAGTGTCTCCACACTCTGCCTGGAGGCGCTCAACGGTCCCCATGGAGATGCATTGATTCAATGCACCTCTATGAGGATATGGTGGTTGGTGCAGCGGTTTGCTGCGCATGAGCAATAGCCTCTCAATGCTTTTCTATGGGAAAGCATTGGATTGGCGGAGATCATCAAGTTTGATCATCTCAGCAATGAAGGCTGGACCAGGCAGAGCCATCTGCTGCGAGACCGGAGCAGCGTGGGAGAAAAGGGGAGTAAAATCAACTTTCAAAGTGAGGCAAGGGGGGTCAGAGCCTAAACAATCGTACCAGAACTAGTGTCAGGAATACAGGTTTGTATTCCTGACACTATAATGGTCCTTTAACACTTAATTTCCATGTCTCCTCCTCTCCTTTATTATCACCCTCCTTGGGAGTTTTTCTTCCTTGTCACTGCTCTTTCTTTTCCTCTTGGTATCTATACGAAGCACTAATTCCTCTGGGATTTAGTCTGATCTAGGGTTACTTCTGCAATATTGGAGTTGGGATGTATCTAATTTGTATAAGAATTTCTATTAATTTTTTTTTAAAAAGTAAAGCATAAAAAAACCCCAGACAAACATTACAAAATAATATATCGATACTGATTGAAAAATCCTGCTGTTCAGGCGAAACGCGTCTCGGACTGCTTTGGACGGGAACTTCATTGTTTGGACTGAACATTTGTGGTATTTTTTTATTTTGCGGTTTTAATTTACCTTATATTTTGGTTAATAAATGTATTCAAGTTCCACATCTTGCCAGTGTCCTCTGCTATAAAGAAGAGTTGTGCCCTCTTAAAGGCACAGTGCGCATTATTCTGAGAGCCCAGTACTTTGGCTCTCAACAAGGTGAGCAGTGACTACCTTACTTTATTAACGTTTTTAGTGAGGATAACACACTATATTTTGTCTTATTTCTCCCTTTATCTCTGAGTACTCAACATCTCTACACTGAAGAAGTTTTGGTATTCTCTTAAAATACCTCTACGCATGAGATTTGAGCCTATCCCCATAAGGCTTTGCACCATGTGAGTGTGCTTCATACGAAAAATATAATATTCTACTTGTTTTAGACATACTGCACCATATTTTGTCTATTTTTCTCCTTTAGACACCGTTTTAACTATATTCCCTTTGTGGCAAAAGTAACCTCGCCACTGGTTTTTGGAGTGGCCTGTTTGTCAGCCTCCTGCCCTGTGACTATGGCTCCACGTTGAAATGCTTGATTTGAAAGCCGGGTCATTCCGTACTTTCCCTATGTGAACAGTGTTACACCAGATAGCTATGCCATGGAGCCCATTCGTATAACGAAAGACTATGTGAAAAACTTTGGCTCCATGGCAATTGAACTGTATGTATGTTATCTGAGCGCCATTCAGTAATAATGTGCGCTCAGATCTAAGCTATCTGGGGATATGTTGAATGTACCTGTTTTATGCAATAGCTGCACAGTTATATATATATATTTATGTATTTTATTGTCTTTTGCTACCATGTGGTTAATGGAGTTTTGCCTCTGTCCATGGAGATAATTGGATTACTTCCCAATTATCTCCAGGACAGAAGACTCTGTGGTACTGGTTTTGGGCAGAAAAGCCATGCTTCATTTGGTCACAAAGGACTTGGATCTAACTTTTGACCCACTGGACCAATTTGTATGATTTTGACGTATGTTGGTATTTGGAGTATGCTTAAAATGTAAGTTTTATGTGAATGTGATGCATACTTTTAAAGTTATGAATATTGTGTAAAACTGTGTATTTTCCTGCCTGTGAAAATTATATTAACCCATTGTGTAAGGTAATTGTATCACAGGCAGAGGGGAGGATTTTGTGTGGGAATGTCTGAATGTATTGTACATGTTTATTGGTTGTTTTACAAAACCCTATGGGTGGTACTAATGTGTAAGAATGTGTATATAAGAACAATAAACCCGCAGCTCTGTCAGTTCTACTTCACCCTCAATCTAGAGTCCTGTCTCTTATTGGGGGGATTGCTATATCACTACAAGGGATTGCTATGCTCTGCATACTCCCTTAGCTAATCACTACTAAGCTCTTTTAAGAGCTTGTTCCTGCTTCACCCTCTTGGAGGAGAGGTTCACCCAGTGGAACCTGGAGCCTTGTCGTAGGTCCAGGGTGGGTAGGAGACGGCGAGCCCCCAACCAAGCTGCAGCGGTTTGTGGGGTCTACGGTGGTTGTGGTGTCTAGCGGAGCACTTGGAGCCCTCTGTAAGCGCTAGGAGCATCCTTCAACGGAGGTACCCAGTCGGGGTGCAAGGTGATCCGTTACACCCTTATTTAAGGGTAAGTGTATAAATTTAGCGCTCCACTGCTTTTTGTTTGATGTGGTGGGTCATCGCCACTCAATATTTCACTATCTGGTTTGCATGTTTTTGTGTTATGTAAGAGGTATTAACACGAGTGTTGAGCAGCTTTACAAACTTTTGATGTAAATTTACCTTTAGCGCCTTACATTGACACAGCACCAACATTACAACATTACAAAATTAATATTTTGCAAATTGTCAAGCATAACAGAACATTTTTCAGGGTAGTGACCACTTAAATAAGATCCAGTGTAAACACATCAAAGTACAGATGACAGGAGCAAAAGTTACATTGTGCAAAATAACATGTTAAGTTTTTAATTTAAGCCGTTACTTCAGACTTTTAAAGTCGTTCTTATTTCCCTAAATCAAACCGGTTAAAGACAATAAGTGGGCTTCACCTTAATAGCACTGCAGTGTAAGCCTTTGGCCATCAGGATGTAAATGAGATCTCGTGTTAGGTTGTCTTTAATCCCCAGGATAATTCCACTGTATATCATTGGCACTTCCCACTGCAAAGATATTCACACATCTTTTGAGTTAACCAAATGCAAAATGTATTTTGGAAGCAAACAATGGGCAGCATATGAAAGAACAATGAGAAAAAGAGGAAACAAAACAAAAAAACAACAAAATTGAAACTGTGTGTTGAAGAATCCTTTCCCATCAAAATATAATGCTTGAGAGATTCTATATGTGTAGAGCATTAGGAAAGGTTTGTTTCCATAGCTTATTGAACAAATGTACAATTTTTCTTAAACAGGTGGAAACTAATCCTTTTTAGCATCTTGGGCTACCGAACAATCAGCATTGAATATTAAATGGGTTATAGACATATAATAAGTTACACTGTATTCTCTATTATGGAATGTATAATATACTGGCACAAGACATTATTATTCATTGTGTGACTGCATTTCTCTCCCAAATCCATCCTCCCCTAACCGCATAAAGTTTCCAAAATATTAGTTTGTGAACTAATGTTTTCCGCCCTCTCCTTGATTGGCAATATGTAGTTACATTTTGCCTTACCCCATCTTCACAAAATGTAGAAATTTGATTAATTCTCTCCTTAACCAAATATTTCTCATGTACACACTAGACGTAGAGGTTTGGAATGTCCTCACTTCACATATTGTATTACTTGCTAATGGTCTGCTGCTGTTACACAGGCAACTATTTACTCTAACCCCACCCCCATCACTCTCAATCAGATCACTGCTGCCCTTTCATTGCGGTTCTATTTGCCTAGAATTATACTTCAGGAGATATATTTTTAAAATATCCCCTTCCGTATTTACTTCTTTGAATTTATTTAAAAATTTACCTTATTATTTTTACTTTATATAAATAGACACATTATATTTATACATACTTACAGATCTCTCTCTCTCTCTATATATATATATATATATATATATATATCTCTCATCTATTTATGTTATGATTTTTATGTACACACATAATCCAGGATGCACACCTAAGATTACTATAAAAGCAATAAATAGTTTATATATGCAATAGTATAATAAGTTTACACAAGAATAACAAAAAGGGGGGCTGGGCCGGACCGCCATGCTAACCGGTCGCATGCAGGAGAGGCTCCGGAGAAACCTGGCCTCTTAAGCTACTTAACGCGGACTTTCGCACAATAAACGAGCCCACGAGATACCCACGGCTGTGGGAGAGGCAGCAGACCCCGAGATTGGGAGTTCTGGTCCCCAGGAGGAAGAACAGAACTTTGAGGGCTGCGGCCTACCCGGGAGGGGAGCGAGGTGGACAGCCATCGCCGGGTCTCCCTTCCCGAATACCACATGCCGACTGCCTGAGTCGCTTGCCAGCCCCGTTTCCGCCCCTTTGGACCGGGGGGGGGGGTCATCCTGGCTTGAGCCGCATGAGGATTGAGGCACACGGAACCCGCAAGACTCACCTCGCAAGATGGCGGCGGATCACAGCCCTGTGCCACCCACTCCAACACCAGGGAGTCTCTATGAGCCGCGGTTGCATCACCTGCCAAGCCGGAGGGCCCCACACAAAATATAACCGCCAAAATCACGGTCTGCCGCTGTCTGGGAGAGAGAAACACCTACTGTCCATAACGGATGTCCCCTGGTGGGACCGAGAGCAGGAGGCGAGAGATGAAAGCGAGTAACAGCCAAGTGGACTTACATGTACACCTACACATATGACAAGTGCTGGACTCACTGGACCACCTAGCCAGACAAGGGGAGATCTACCACACAAAGAGGAGTACCTGTGACCACCAGATCTGTGACAAAGGGGAAGGAGCACTACATGCCAGCACAGAGACTCTCACAACCCCATAGACTCAACAGGAGGTACCACTTGCCACCTAACATGCTCTGAAATACACCGCAGCCATATTGTGATAACTAACACCGTGATGCTTGCTTGTTCAGTTTGGTGAAGCTTACTTACCTATATCAGCTTAGCATTTACATACTGAGGCTATTTACCTGCATAGTTTAAACATTTAGACATAAGTTGATTATTTTATATGCTCGGTCATAAGCGTCTGGCTCCCTCCAGAGGGTTGCTTCTAAGCCTCACCTAAATTACTACTGTAAACATGCTTAACCGTGCTAGCTTGTGTAATTCACCATCTATATATGCCTGTACAATTCGTGTTATCACCAGACGATCTGACGAACAGACCTAGCCTGTTTGCAGTTTAAATGTAGGCTTTCAATCGATGCTATATTGCTTTAACTGATTCAGCCTGCTTATATTACAAAATTGTGCCCGTTAATCAAAAACCCTGCATGTTCAGTGAGGGAAATGCCGGAGGACTGCTGTCGGGGCACCTCAAGCTTGCTTGTACCATCTCTATGCACTACAAAATAAAAAAAAAATAAACAGTGGACAGAGGCTAGACTAACAGACAATATGTAGCAATGTACCAACGATAGCCTATCAGGGCAGGACACAAGCCACAAAGACCCCCCCCCAATGTTTCTGTTTTTTTTTTTTCTTGTGTATACTTATTATACTACGGTATTAAATAAGTATGTATAGCTTTTTTAGTAGCCTTATGTGTGCATCCTGGTTTATTTATATGCTATGGCGTTTTGACATTTAGGGGAGTGTCTGCCTTGGCTTACACCCTGTTCATTATTTGTTGTTATGCATAAAAGTGTTCCCCCATATACAGATTGTTATATCATTTTTATCTATCAAACAGTGGGAAGTGAAATTTTTCGATCAATCATGACTTTCACCTTTAACTAGCCTTCATAAGTGATGATTAACCATTTAGAACACTGTGATCTGTGCAATACCATGGTCAGTCGTCCATCTGCTGTGCGGCTGTTGAAGATCACACAAATTCATGATACCTTCATACACACCATTACCTTATGTGACACCATCCAGTACTGACTATCAGACTTCATGCCATGAAGTTCTATCAAGATCTGGCGGATTCTCCAGGGGTCCATAGTCAGTATGAGCTGATGTTCCAACTGACCGATGTTGACACTGGCAGAGGCTGAAACAGAAGATCCATTTATTGACAGCGAGCATATGAATTCCATTACTGAGATTTTACAAAGACAGATCATATAAAGGAATCTATCTTCAGAAATGTTACCTTCAATCACAGGTCACGGTCACATTTTGTACCATGGAAATGTCAATGCTATGGTTTTAATTGAACTGCGATTCCTTTATTCAGGTAATATTTGTTCCCTCTTATAAGGCTGGTGGAAATCATGCCTGTTTTAGGACACACGCGTATCAAATGAATAAATGGTCTGTGCTTATAGTGCTTTGTTTACCGGAATTGGGATCAATAGAGAATACACACGAATGACAAAGTTCACTTTGACCCACATTGCACAGCGAAGTCAACTTAACTCTGACAGTTTCCCAGGCATTTCCTTCACATAGAAATATGTCCTGAGCAACCAATTGTGTGATATAAGAATGCAGTATTCCAATATAAAACCAATGTTTTACGTGAAATCTTTGTCTACTATAAATCTTGATTGACTCCAGATCATTGGATCGGACCATAATGCATCATATCTAACCTGGAATTTCATAGAAAGAAGTCACAGATCATTGGATCGGACCATAATGCATCACATCTAACCTGGAATATCGTAGAAAGAAGTCACGGGTTTGGTGCAGAGATTGACTCGGGATGTTCTCTTTCTAATCTGTTCCACCAACACCTTCCTTTCATCCTCAGTCAGCAGTTTGATAAAGAGCTCATGGGAAGAAATCATGAATACCAACTGCAGATCATCCATCCCCATACAAAGGTTCCTACAGAAGACATTTCAAATAAAAATGGAGATTATCTGATTATGTGCGCACATGCATTTGTATTTCTTTCTTTTTCGCAGGACCAATTAAGTACAACGTGTAAATAAAATCTATTTAACTATAAAACCAAACACACGCACAACTCTAAATAGGTAAAAGAACAATTTATATACAAGAACTGCTAAAGTTTGCAGTAATGGTTATGTCACCTAAAAAGTCTGGATTGGTTCCCCAGTTTTAAGTCATACCACTTATGGATGGTTTGACATAAAGTAGGGTCTCCCGGGACTGCCTCAGTTTGGCATATTGATATTGTGGAAATAACACTTCAGCATTTTCAATGTCAGTATTGTCACACTTTGAGGACATGGATTGACTGAGGGTGCAGGAGGCAGGTTAGTTAGCGAGCAACAAACATCTTCTGCTTTTAACACCTCTACATGACAAGCATATGCTAATTTCTGCACTCAGTCTGTATCAGTATTACATATTACACAATTTTATTAAGATCAAAGTCATTCACTGCATCTCTTATACACCAGTGGGTAAAAAGTTGTTGCTTAAACAATACTGAACAAAAAAAAGATTACAAGGCTCAGATACTCACTTTAGAAATGATGCAATTGTTCTTCTCTCAGATTCGGTTGCTTGCTCAAATTTCAGTGATTTGGAACACACCTATAGGATTATATTATATATATATATATATATATCTTTATGGTTCGTACATTTTTGTTTTAATTATTTAAAATCCGCCCCCAATGGTCTATCAGACTAAAGATTAAAAAAAACAACAACTTAGAAGTACACATGGCAATGGCCAGGTCATAGAACTAATGTAGTCGTACCTCAAGAATGTAGTCAATCTTCTCTCTATTTGGCCTCATGAATAGCTGGTTAAACTGAACTCCCACCGGTCGCCCATGAAGAATATCACAAATTGTGTTGCATGCACAGATTTTGAAGCAGATCTCTGAAAGAGCTTCATTGCTGTAGGATAGCAAGTGATTTTGTAACAATTAAAATGCCTTATTAATCAATAACAGATTCTATCAAATGTATGTTGATGATTGTGTTTCAATCATATAGGCAAACTGAATGAAAAAAAATGAAATATCAAAATAAATAAGATCTAAAGCATTTTAAATAATTTTTATTGATTTATCATTACTAGCGTAATACAAGTTATGCGTTTGCCAGCATGGTGGAACATAGCCTTTTGTAGTCAAATATGGATAAAAAGCAGTGATACAAAACATATGCATAGATTGAAAACATGGCACCACATGTATAGTCATCATAGTAAGGCTTAGTTTAGGTATGTGAACAAAGGGGTACCAAGGTCTTCTCAGCGCTATGCTGGTAATCTGTGTTGAACAAAGCCCTTGAAGGCAGAGATAGGATGCAAGCAGTACCACTGAAGATATGCATAAATTGTGAACTAGGCACCTTATGTCATGTGTCGTATATCGAACATGACAGAAAGAGAATCGAAAACAATAATGATTAAAAAAAAAAAAAAATTAATTTCCCCCTCCCCGTTGTGGAGCTGGGACAGAAAGGTCTAACGCCTGCATGCAAACCCTGCCGAGCTAACCAGTGAATAATATGGTGGCTGGACCCCTTCTTGGGTAACAGTATAGCACGCGCAGCTGGTGAGCACCAGTCACCCCCCAAAAAAGAATAAAATACAATATAAGCATATATAAAAAAATAAAAAAATTTAAAAAAAAAGAGACGCCCCCACCCCACAAAGCAGTCAGTCCAGCACAGCATTACAGGGTTAGCAAACAGATTAGGGCAGTCCGTTCCTCTCAGGCCCTCCAGGTTGTCAATCCTCAGTTTTTCTCCACCAAGCCAGTCCCAATCCTCCAGTTGAGCCCTCCATGACACAGTGGGCACTCTGATACCAAAACCATCCACTGGGCCTCCCCCACTAAAAGTCTGTGAACCACCATCCTACTGCACCTCCCCAGTACCATCGGAGTATCAGTGAAGCTTGTGTCTCCTTATTTCTCTCCTGCAACCGGCCTACACACTTAGCATTGGTGTGCGTCCCCCATGGCCACTGATACACCGGGAGGCCCGCGCAATCCAGGTCCCACAGGGCTCTTCATTCCAGGGACAACTCTCTCTGGGCCCCTTACCTAACCCAGAGGCCTTTGTTTCTCAAGTGGGCAAGCTGCCCCAGGGATCCAACAGTAGGTCAGCAATCCCAAAAGGGTCAAAGGACATCATAATGCAGCCCCTTATAGTAAGTCGCTGTTTCTGCAGTACCATCACCAGGCAGTCATGGGCATATGTAGCCCTATTAGGAACAGGGAGGGGGGACGTCCAAGCCGGAAAGATCACCTTCTTCTGTGGCAACCACAGTCGCGGGCCGGGATAACCCCCACCGGCCATCCCAAGCGGTCTCAGCACCAGGCATCTCTATGCATGTCAGCAGGCTTTTCAATCATCACCTTTAGGTTATGTGGTGCCAGCCATGTGCGGGAGTAGGCCCAAAGTGTCGGCAGCCTTAGTAACTCCTTTTATACGGACCTAAATCAAGTTCAATTGGGGGCCTGGATGTTTTCCAAGATATTTTTGGTTTTTTCTCAAGCTTTGGGAAGCTATGTGTGTGTGAATTTTGCCGTTTATTGGGGCTGGTGACCAGAGCCAGCGAAGATGGCTGCTGCCTGGCCCGACAGCCAGGCTCCGCCCCCCAATTAAATAGTTTTGAACGAAAAAACTTACAGCATCCAAAAGAAACTCAAGGTTGCAATACTTTATACAACATATGAAAATAAAAGCTTTTACATTAGCAGGTCTCATTTAAAGAGTATAGAGAATAATTTCTAGGCCATATCCTTTCGAGAAAGTGATCTTTGCAGGGACACCTGGAACCCTTGGTGTGGGATAAAGCATCTTAGAACTTTTGAGAAACTGGGAGTAGTTTTTATGGATGTTAATAAAACACAAGCAACACCACATTCACAAGTACAATTCATTATGTAGATTACAGTGAGTATACCTCCCATGAGATGATCTTGACATTCGTCTATAGATCTTAAAACTGGTATAATGTCCAAAATATGTGTTTTTGCTTGTAGCAAACACAAAAAGTAGTTATTTCAGATGCTTGGAAAATGATCCATAATTTAACGTGCAATCAGTCTCCTGGCTGAGAATGAGAAGAGTTCCATTATACATCACTCAGGGTTAAGGAACAAAGCTCATAAAAACCTCAGGGTCGGGCTGTGCATCCCAAAAAGGTAATTTTAAAAAGAGCACTCTAAGGTTAAAATAAATAATCTTCGTATATTAGTTTCAATAGTTTAAATTATGACCCCCTTATATAAGAATAAATGAGGAAAAGAAAATTCCAGCGATGAGATGAACTCCAAAATGCATTTGCACTCCCTTCCACAAGTGATGATCTCAATCTTATCTAATGCATTGGGGACCAAAGGTGCATACAGGGCAATCACAATGTTCTGCCAAACAAATCTATTCTTACAGAAAAGCACTGACTACAATTCTTTTTTTTTTTTTTTTTTTTTTAAAGCATTCACGGTAATGGGCGGCATCATACAATGAAAGATAATACCAAATGCAAAGACCTTCCAAATTGAAGGTCATCAGTTTGGAGGTGTGGTTTGGGAAGGAACATTACCATTGCAGTTTCTCAGGAACAGCAATTTTTATACTGCCAGGCAAAATGGAAAGAGTCTAAGCATTAAAACCACTTAATTAAAATTAGAAGGTATTGGTGCTTAGAGTGTCCCTTTAACTCCATCAGAGTTATCGAAGAAAGTCGGAACATTGTTTACAAAATTTATCATATATTCAGCTTTTGCAAAGCAGCATCCAAATGGACTTTTAATGTCCGCTGGATTTCAGCCTGTCCAAATGCAACCGAAATCCAGATATGGATCCTAAATATCCAGGGCCATATTGTTAAAAATCCATATTATTTGCCGCAGCTCTAGACAATGAGCCAATCAGTCCCTTGAATCTACAAACATACCTCTTTAAAACAAAAAAAGTCTATTTATACAGTTATTTACCCTTGCTGTGATTTCTGGAAAAGTTCTCGCAGAATAGACTGTCTAAACTGGTCCGGTAAACTGCAGGTAGCATTATCTTCCAAAAAGATCTTTAATATGCCCTTTAAAACAGAAAAAAAAATTAAAATGAGCAAAAAATGGAAATAACGAAAATGTAATTAACATTTGGTGCCTGGGTGATTTAATATGTTCCAATTCCAATCACTGGGGACAAACTGAAATAGCAGGAGGACCCACATGTAGGCCCTGATTTATGGGGTTAAAACCAGCCTGTCCTTTAACTTATTTATTTTTAGAGAGAAAGCTTTTATAAACCTTGTCATTTTCTTTCCTTGTACAGTTTTTGACAAGAAAGAAAAAAAAAACAAAAAAACAAGAGATAGTGATACATAAATAAAATAACGTGATCTTAGAAAGTTACTGAGTCACCTGGTAATTGCCAGCCTTCATGTAACTATGGATCAGGCTGTAAGGTGTCGACTGCTGGACAACTAAATTTGAAGGTGCCAGAACTCCACATGCTTGACAGTATCCCGCTAGCCTCTTGTCATCTATTGAGAAAAGGTTTGATGCAGCGCCAATCTAAGAAAAAAACAAAAAGGAACAGATATAAAACATTTAGGTTTGTTTCTTAGTTGATCAAAATGGTTGCTTTTTCTGGGGTTTTACAAAGATTATAAAAATACTAAGTTTTACTTATTGAGTTATCAAATGGGTTTACAGAATTTACAAAATGTTATAATTTAGAAACATTTTCTCAGAGTCAAGTTCTCCTAGTATCCATCGTCTATGCTAGTATATCCAAACAACATTTAGACCTACATTTCTACCCTACCCTTAGCTTTTGTGTCACTATACCCCACTCCCACTAGCATGCAAGCTCATTGAGCAGGGCCCTCAATCTCTCTGTTCCTGTGTGTCATACTCGTCTGGTTACAAATACGTGTCTTCTAGTCCACCCGTTGTACAGCGCTGTGGAATTTGATGGCGCTTTATAAATAATAACAATCATAATAATATTGCATTATAGTGAAACACATAAGACTTAGGATGAAAAACATACATCCCTATTATTGTGAGTCAATACCTAAGGCCCTAATTGTACTTAAAACAATAAAATGTAATTAAAAAAAAAAAAATGATGCGGTTATCAGGTGTTCTCATCCCAGTCTATTCACACTATGCGTTCATATAACCACAGTGTAAACAAACTGAATATGCCATTTAATATGAATGAACAATAGCCTAACTGATAACATTATTTTTTGTCACTTTATTAAACAGAATGATAGGAGAAAAAAAAACCCTTTGCTCCTTTATACAACTAGACAGGGAGAGATATAATAAAAGGTTACCTTTGAAAGGAGTTGCTTAGTGTTAAAAAAACGGTCTCTGGCTTTCTCATAACACAGTGGGTTTATGGCTCCTTGGTGGAAATAAACAGTCCCCAGGTCATAGGATACCTGTAAAATATGAAATCAAAGCCTGAACTTTTACTTACTGTAAACAGCTTTTTTCCTTTGTATTAATGGCAATACAATCTACCATACAATATCTATTCCCCTCCTTCTGCCCAGGTAATCAACTGAATAAATAATATTTAGAATTTAGGCTCATCCCAACCCTCTCCACATCTTTAATTTCCCATCATTTTTCCTTAACTCATTATATAAAAAAATTAAAAAGAATATATATATATGGTCATGCCCCTCAAACCTCATCTATACACGAGACGCACAAAGTATGCAAAAATATACTTGGCTTAATAGGAAGGAATGCAATTACTACCAGCTGCAACACATTACACCCAAAGTATGCTGCTTCCAACCAGTAAATGCTTGTAAGAGGTATGCTCTCTTTACAGAAATTGGGATGTTAAGGTAAACATTTAATTTTCTGTGCTCCCTCTTAAATAACTTTAATATATCATAAAGTGGATAAGTTGAAGGGAAAAAAAACAAACACACTACACAAAGGCTCAACCTTGATGCCAGTGAAAGCACATGCTTTTCGTGTAAACTTTATGTAAAACTGTTCACACATGTACTCGTTTTGTTCTCCTGCCTGGAATTATTCAGAACCACAGCAAAAGACAGGAATCAGGTATAGGCAACAACTGGCATCGGACAAGATCCTGCTTTACAATTACCCTGATTATTCATTTACTTTGGACTGAAAGTAGAACGTTGAATAAACAGTTCATACATCTGCAATGTATATATTTACCTGGCACTGCATTTCCTCAGAACTAATTTTTAGCCCAGCTGTTGAATTCTCTGTCTCTCCATTGATCATGCCAGGCTCCATAGCCAACAGATCCAAGGTTCTCATGGTATGGGCATAGAAGTCTCTCTTCATTTTTAGACTTCCCTCTAGTACAGTGATCGAATCCTCTGCCTGCTCTTTTAGCTGCAATGAAAAGGAAAGCAATTGTCAATGTGCACTGTTTAACGTCTGGTTGATTTGAATGTGCAGAGGAACCTTTATTAAGATATGGTAGCAGTTTTTTAATTGTTACACAATCTGGTGCAATCATGCACTCACACCACAATTTTACATCATTATGTATTTGCTATCAGTAACTAGTCAAAAAAGAACACAACAGCATGAACATCTCTGCAAGCCAACATACTGAGATGCAAACAAAGTAATGTTTGGCACAGCAAAAAGGAGCAAACTCCTCTGGACAGCACCCTGGTAAGAGATAAAATAGAATTTCAGAGACAATGAAAGCCACCACAGTTCAAAGTGTGCTAGCTGATGTAGCAGGATGATTAAACATGCATGCTATGGTAATACACTGTTTTACATGTGATATAGGTTTGCATTAGACACTTTCATTTTCTTTACTCAGCAAACAAATTTATATAGGATTACCAAGCACAAATAACGGATTTACTGTACAATATGGAATTGAAGGAAATCCATGAGATGAACTGATCTCAGTTTGCCTGATATGTAGCATTCATTTTTGTCGCATCGCTACATTGCATCTTTGATCTCACTGCATAAGGTTCTAGATATAAAGGCTTCAGATACGTTCAAGAGCAAAATAAAAGAAACTCACCACTTTCAAAATATTTTCTGTAAGCTCCTTCTCTTGTTGGATTTGATTCATACTGGAAAGAAATTGGAACAATTGATATAAAACGAAGCTCAATCTTCACCCATATATGTTCTTTTAAAACAATTAAAAAAAGCTTGCCATTAAAATAAATAAAATAATTTGTGGTTTTAGCAATGTTGCAACCCAAAGAAGTGTATCCAAAAAATTAAATGGCTTAAGAAAGCTAAAAGGGGCATGCAGCCTGCAGGTTCATTTGGGTTTTCCATGCTCCTTAATTAGCAAGATTTAGCATCTCCTTAGCAAGACTTTAAATACACAAAGCTTTGGTAAATAAAAGGTTAAAATAAAATGAGTATGTTTATGTGAATTGGTACAAGAACAGAAGGCATATACTTACATGTTAGGCTGTAGAGGTCCTTGCTTTACAGGTTTTACCAGGAAACTGCTCTGAACAATCGTCCTAATGGCCCTAAATAAATAAATGAATGCTTTCCATGAATCAAGGAGACCAGTGAATTAAATCTGTTTAACTTCTACATTGCCTTAAACAGACACTCTGAGAAACAGAACAACAACAACTTGTAGTAGACTAGAATGGCCTGGGGCTCCACCATCCAGTTTAATATCAAACGCTTTAGGAACAGTTTGAGATAAGCAGATTATTTTCCCAGCACCAGTATTTTATTCTTATTGCAACGTTCTCTTGTATTATTAAAACATTCTCAAGTATTATTCTACCTGCTGTTTGTTATGACATAATTCTGCCAAGGCAACAGTCAATAAAAATAATTCACTAGATATTGGGTCTGTTTTAACTTTACAGGTATATTTCACTAAAAATAGCATCCTCTATAATTTACAAAAAGCTACCTCCAAATTATGAAGATATGTTCCGATTTAGAATCCATATGAATCTAAACAGCGAATACAAATCTAAACAGCAAACTTCCTTCCGAAAAAAATTTGGAAAAAATATACGACTCTGCTACAGTCACAGCATGGTTACTTTATGCAATTTGATATTCAATTAACTGCTTAACCCATGAAAATAATATTGAATATTAACTTAGCTCTAGCAACAAGTGAAAATACTTAATATGTATTTGAAAGTACCTTGAAAATCATTAAACTTGAGATCTATGAACTTCTATTCAGAAGACAAGATGGGCAAACTGCGTATTGTTGATAAATATTTCTACTTTAAGCACAACAATTTTGTATTATTGCAAAATTCACGGCGAAAGAGTAAGCTATGTTCCACGTTCCGTTCAGAACTTCTAAATTTTCCAATGTGTCAGTCAGAATTTAATTTTATATTAATGTTGTCCAAGTTGTGCACATCACACACATGACTAGCTGCCATCAGTTTATAGAGTAGGTCCACTCATTCTCAGGTGATGAGTGGACCTGTTGCTGGAAATTAAACTGCTCTGGTGGACAAAGGTTTATGGGATAAGATCAGACCCAACAGACTTTTAAGATGAGGGAGCGGTCTAGCTGAAGTTAATCTAAGCTGTGTTTAAGGATTTTGGAAAAATAAGCAAACAAAATACATATCTGAACATACACACATTTAAAAGTAGAATGTAGCATACACTTTGCAAATGTTATAAACCTTACCATCGGTTGTAAAGCATAACAGCCATGGCAGTAGTTGGGGGCAAGCTGGAGAGGTCCAAGTCTACGTGCTTTGTTCCTGGAGGCACTTTGCTCACACATAGCAACTCATTCAGCAGCATGTTCAGGACAGGGACGGATAAACTAATGAGACAAAACAAAACAAGGGAGAATGACATGGAGTAGTTAATACACAGAATAGTAGCAACAGTCAGAACGTTTCTCAGTGACCATAAATGGGTTAAGTTTTAAACCTATGGCTCATTAATGCTATAGTAAGAGGAACATGACTCACGTGCAAACAAATATCTCCTTGAAATCTGGTCTATTAATAGTGTTTGGGAACAGGCATGGAAAGTCTTGTGCAATATAAGTAAAACCAAGGGATGTTTATTTAGGTATAAAATGTGTTTGACACAAACACGACTTCAACCTCATAAATTAGCAATAAAAGTAACAGTAAAATAATAAGAATTAAAGAATATGGCACTATAAACAGTCACCCGATTCACTTGTTCTCTTAACCTACCTCTTTTCCAAAATATCAAGGTCCCATTTCAAAAAGGCTGCAACTTTTAAAGCCAGCAGTTTTAGAGTGCGGTTCCTTTTGTTGTCAGTCGGGGGTTGCACTTGATTCTGCTCATTCACCGTGGGTTTGGAAGCTTGCTCTAAAAACTGGACAATCAACTGGACAGGAGAAGGGTCTGGTGGGATATAAACAAAGGAAGTATGGAAACTATGAAACAGCAGAACATGAATATTCCATGGAATATAGCACAATTGGATTAATCTATATATTTATTTATATATATATGCAGTGGTTTACATAAATGTGATGTGTATACATATCTAATGAAGTTGAAAATCTTTCAGGAAAAACAGCAGTTCCAACTACTTATTTGCAGTAGAAATTGGGAATAATTTTCCTTCATTTCAAACGCATCTTTAACTTAAACACCAGACCTATATAGGAATAACAACATATTTATTCAGGACACGGAATTCCAAGTCTATGCTACTAGACAAGTCTAAAGGTTACTCACCACTGGAAGCCAGGAGGGCACATTTCTACTTACCAGAGCTGAATATTTTACCCAGCAATGCTTAGTAAGAGAGTGGAAATTTGGAGCCCTAATTTAACAATATACATTTTGGCTCCCAAGGATTTTGTATACCAATACCTTTACTATGTTAGCTATATTCTGCTGTCAAGCATTCTGTGTGTCAAAACTCAAACTCTTTCCTTCCTTCATTTAAATTGCTCTCCCATCACATTATTTATCTTTTTGTCATGTATGCTTGCTTCAATATTTCCCCATGATCAATGCGTATTTCCTCTCATTTCAGTTAAACTTCATTCCACCATCAAACGCTGTAAGTGGAATTTTTTTGGCATGCTACGGTGCCTTTTTCAAGCCCTAAAAATTACCAAGTTGTGTGTTGTGGTATAATTTTGCCAAGTTTCACAAAAGGAACAGGAATTTTATCCAAGAAATCTACACTTAAAGGGACACTGTAGGCACCCAGACCACTTCAGCTCATTGAAGTGGTCTGGGTGTAAACTCCCATCATCCTTAACCATGCAGTTATAATTATTGCAGTTTTTATAAACTGCAATAGTTACTTCTGAGGGTTTACTCCTCCTCTAGTGGCTGTCTACCACTACAAAAATAAATATTGAATAAAAAATATAAATAAAACAAGAATAGGGAAACACCTAAGAGGAATTAAGAACAAATGCATCAATTATGGTGTACCCATCCATTTTGCAGAAAATCATGGAGCTAACTCAAAAGATCTAATAGTGAAGGGCATTGAATCAATCAAACCGACCCTCAGGGGGAGGTGATAGATTAAAAACCCTCAGACGAAGGGAATCAGATTGGATCTTCAAGCTTTGTAAACTCTGGAATGGGGGCCTCAATAAAGACCTAGATATAGCAGCCTTTTAATAATTTAAATTTAATTTACTCTATATATTTTTTATTCAATATTTATTTTTATAATATTTTAGTATTTTATTTATATCCTTAATTTGGTTTCATATTTTTTTTGTTTACTTATATTTTATTGGCACCATCACTCCCTCTCCAATACCTGGGGACTAATTAAAGAAATCATCTCCTCTATGTATTCTCATGTTTTATATAGTGGATATATTACAAAATTTCATTGATTGAGACTCAGTATCCTGCTGTGTGAAACTAGCACTTTTTATACACACATCTCTTTGATACAACGTTCTGATACTATGTTGGCTCACTTTAGAACAATGTGTGCTTAATATACACTTGCTTAGTTTTAATTTTTAAGTACAGTTTTAGCTCACTAAATCAGTATGTCTTAAAAAAAAAAGTAGTACTCGATCTGAACCTTTTTTGATAAGGATATACATACTTCTTTATGCAACACATATCTATTGCTTTATATGTATTTTAAGAAGTATTACCTACTATCAGTATCTATACTCCTATTGTTATTATTTCATTATTTTATTATACTATAGCATGTTTAAAACAGAGTTTAGTAAACACTCCCTCCTTTTTTCTTCCTGGGTATCGTTATCCCTTTAAGAATTACAATTAACTTATCAAGGATATAACTCTATGATTGTATCGGTGATCGTCCAAACTCCCTGAGGAAGTGAGTGCATACTCATGAAACTATAAGGAGCGGACGATTTCTCCATACTTTCTTGTCCCCAGTGATCTGCCGTATCCACTAGTTCCCGGTATTGTTTGGGGCGCCGCCGGAGGCACCATTATATTGGCTCTGCAAACACCTTTTGAGCTTTACCTCCATCTGGGTGGACGGAATATACAACACTTCCCCAACTCCCAGTTATCCTCTTTGTCCAGCTCTGACCTGTACGTTATTAGGCATCACCTGGCATTCTACTCACCAGCACACAGACTTTATCACAGGGGATTGTGTGTGATTTAAGTACCCACAGAGTTTACTTTTTTTTAATATATATTTTTTATATTTCTCATAGTTTTGTATTTGTATTTCTACTTATAAACTTTTATTTATTTTTAATGTAGCATATTTGTATTCTGTTCCTTATTTTTGAATAAACTTACTTCACCACAGAAGCCCTCCTTCTCTGATTTGCACTTTTCTGGCACATCAACTAAGCAGTTAACACACAAATTCAGGACATTTCTTCTTTAAAGCTGCAACAGATTCCTTTTGGGCTATATGTGTTTATGAAGACTTTGTAATTTTTATTTTACTTTATTGTATGTATAGTATTTTATGTATTATTTGTTATTGGTATTTACTGGTTATACTCCTAGCAGAGCGGTCTTGGAGAGGGCAGACTGGTGTCTTATGGTGCCTTGTCTACACATCATTGTGCCAGTCCGTTCTCTACCTGTATGCTTATTACTGCAACACAGTGTAGTTTTATTTTTCTGGAATGAGAAAAGGTTTTATGGGGTTTATTCACTAACTAGTGAAGTAAAACCCACATGTCAATCTTCAGGCCAAAAAACCCAGTTGCCCCAGTTTGACTATTTTAGCGTTTTATTTGGTTAACAGTACACAAAACTCCAAAGTTTAGTGCATAACGCACCCCCACCTTCCCACAGCTCTCTGCTTCAAACGACAAAGAGCAATGTGATCACCTGAATCAGATTTCTTCAAATGATTTTCCAACAAGGATTCTTCCAACAAAAATTCAAACCATGAAGTCTGAGGTGGAGTACAAGGGCGACTGGAGGTGGCTGCCTCCCGGTCTGCAGCTTCTGCACTCATCTTCTTTGCCACCACTTTATCACTGGTTTGGTTTTTCTTTTTCATTTGAGCGGTTTTATCTAGAAAACATTTCAAGGTACTTGTTAAAGGTAAAATTGACAACTAAAAATGTAAATACCTAAATCTAATACATAAAACTAAAAGTGCATTTCTTTTTCATGCTAAACTCTTGAAACAAACTAAATTTAACTAAATACATCCATTGTTACAGTTTCATTTTCTTTTCAAATAATTTGTATTGAAAATTTTTTGCAGAATTTACAAATAATAAAGAACAATATATTAGGGAAGGGAAAGGAAGCGTGAAAACTGGGAGATGGGGGAGAAAAAGGGGGGGATATCCATCCATTATAACAGTAAATTTGTTAAAGTACAAGGCACTTGAGTTGAATAACACGACATTACAAGTTATTACAGGTTATGTGTTTTTTTGACATCGGTTTCCCAATGATCCCAGTGGTGTTTTAATTGTGCAAAAATGTGTGTGTTAATTCTATGTGATAGTTCGTATGCTTTGTTTTCTAATGTTAGTGTCAGTACTTCCTTGATAGAGGGTGTATGTTTAGACTTCCAATATCTAGGTAGACATGTGGTGGCAGCTATCAGTATGTGGCCTGCTATAATCCTATCTATTCTACTGATGGATTCAGGGAATTTTTTTAAATAGAGCTAGTTCAGATGTGAAATTGTCTATATTTCTGTTTACTTTAACAATTAAATCGTGTATCGATTTCCAGTATTTAGTTAGTCTTGGGCAATACCACCATATGTGGGCCATATTGCCCAATCCTTCGCAGTCTCTCCAACACTTATCGCTGTACCTATGACAGTTTCATTTTCTGTAAATGCATCTAAAAACTCATTATTTTATTAATTGACACAAAACAAAATTGTATAGATATGTTTGACACCAAGAGGCTGCTCGCTCTCTCTCTCTCTCTCTCTATATATATATATATATATATATATATATATATATATATATATATATATATATATATATATATATATATATATATATATATATAATGTCCTGAAGAAAGTTCTATTGGAACTGAAACGTTGACTGTTGGAATAAAACCTGAGAAGTTTTTATTTACAAGACCCAGAGTGCTGGCTTTTATATATATATATATATATATATATACACACACACACACACACACACACACACACGAAAATCTAGGTCAACTCCTTGGTTTTGCACCCCTCCCTGTCACAGGTACCTAATTCAAGGTATTCATTATAAGAATCCCCACCACAATGCTAATGGTTTAGGCTGTCAGTCTCTATGAATGGCACCATGCAGGTTGCTATAGTTATTACCACACTGAATACTTCACATAAATTGGACTATTTATTTTTAATACAACCATGCAATGACATTCCTGTCTGGAGTCTTTTTTTTTCCCAGACACACCATGGGTATAATGGATACAAATCACTTTGTCAAAATCAAGGGCATATAATGACAAGTGCTTATTTGCAGTATGTGGAATTCATATACTGTAGGAAGTAATTAGAAAGTATTAGTTAATCGAGGGTTTATTCCAAAAGGAACTGTATTCATTACAGATTTTTTACGCTGCAGCACAAGAATACTGCACACACTGCAGAACTGCACTTTTCTCATGTTGAAGATAAGATATAAACAAACAAACATACACCAAGAAAACATGGTGTATCCAGAAATGATGTAAAATGTAACTTTTCATCTTTATTTTATTACATTAACCTGGCACTCTATATCCACACAGTCTCTTAGTCTTTGCCTGCAGTTTTGTTGAGGGAAATGAAGCAGCACAAAATAAGCCTTGCCATATCTACAGAATGTCATGGAGCTCAATAAAAACATACAATAAACACACTGCCCCCCTCCCCCCATATATAAGGAAGCTGAGTGCCCCATTCATTGCATGGTAAACACACACATATTGACCAAGAGAGGGGTAAACTCTATAGGTAGAAACAGGAAACCCAAAAATCAAAGTGGGGTAATAAATAAACATGATAACAGACTGTACCGTCACACTTCACCAAAGGAACCGGGTGGGCATCTAAAAAAAAAAAGCGTTTTCTTTATGGAGTAAGTCGCGCAGGATGTCCGTCACGCCGTCACGTGATGTAAACAAAGGTCGCGGGGCAGTGACGCGCACGGCAGCACGTGTCCCCCCATTGGCAGCCTTGTCCTGGTGACATTGGGGATGGCTGGGCGGGCTGTGCTGCGGGTACAGGTGGTCCTGAGCAGGTGTAATACCCGGGGCAATAGTGGCTCGGCTGCTGGCTACTGTTTGGACCTGGTCAGGTAAGCACACAGGGTTTGGCTCCAATCTGTAAGTCAACTAAGTGTCTGATTTCATGTAAAATGTGAATATCCCTTTAACCCCTTAAGGACTTAACTTCTGGAATAAAAGGGAATCATGACATGTGTCCTTAGGGGGTTAAAGACTTTTTTTTTTTTTTTTTGTGCAAACTTTCTTCATTGCAGAGTTTGTTTAAAGGAACGCTGTATATAGTGTTAGGGATACAAATCTGGACTTTCTTATAAGCGATTAAACGTCAATTAGCGGAGAAGACGTAAATACGTATAAAGTAAACACACTGTGCTGTCACGTCTGATTGAAAAATTAAACCTTTTGGGTTTTTTTTCATGCAGGCTGTGTCAGTTACATTCAGGTGAGATGTGGCGAAAGGCTGCATAAACAGAAACAAAAGTGCTTTAATGCCACAAGGACAGCGGTGATTGTCCAAGTTCTGAACCAAAACAAAACCTAGTATTTCCTCTATCGGTTTGTCCCAATGTAATTTAAGTGCCCCTATACATATTATATATATATATATTTTTTTTTTTTAAATATCCAAATGTATAAGTAACACAACATTATGTGTGAATACAGTTTAAAAACAAAAAGGGGGGAGAATGAATTTTTCACCTTTGTGCTCATAATATTTTTTACACATCCAATGCTACTAAAGTAAAAGAACTCAACATAGATACACATGTCACTCCCCTTTGTTAAGTCTAGGATTTAAATACATTTTTGGTAGTTAATGCTATGTTGACTCTCTTTCCCACAAAACTATACTTCCAATACCCCTTACATTATGCTTGCACTACCTTTAATTCTACACTAGTCCAAATCCAACATTGACCCTTACCTTACCCTACCACTATCCCCCTAACCCAGAGGAAACTCTCAGATATCAGCCGATGGTCTTCCTAGTTAAAACAGTAGGTGTTATGTTGCCACCATCTACTGGCTTTTTTCAGTATTACAGGAAAAAGCAATGTTTTTTGTTTTGTTTGTTTTTTTTACATAAGATTTTCCTGTAATAGTGAATGAAGCATGCTTTTCCAGGCAATTACCCCGTCATCAGTGCTGGGCACATGGCAAAGCCCAACACCGATCACAATCAGCATGGGGACATGCAGGTAGACCCTCAAGGTTTCCATTTTTGCAGTCTGAAAATCACTGTGGCTAAGCAAGATTACTCAGCTGCCTGTTTTGAATGGATTTAAAGGGCTGTATGCAGCTCATCGTCAAGCTGGGACTTTAAAAATATCCTAACATTGGGAAGGGGTTAACTCCTAAATGGCAGATAATTTATCAGTGAGACTGTAGGGGGATGGTGTATACAGCAAAGCTACTTCATAAAACTAAAGTTGGTTTGGTGCTCAGAGTATCCCTTACAGCCACGATTTCTTTAGTGCTTGAGGTTAAGGAGCATGATTTGGAAATTTCGATATTCTGCAGTATTCCTATTGTGCAATTCAGTCACTACATTTCAATCTGCCATTTTTGTGTGTGTTACAAATACAGTAAATTATAAATAATTTCAAATTGATTTCATTAATGAATTGTTTCAATTTTGTAGGAAACGTGACTATGAAGGATTCCTGTGTACGCTGCTGCTGCCTCCGGGGTCTCAGACTTCTGCTTTTGCATTGCGGGCATTGAATGTGGAATTGTCCCAGGTGTGTATTCTGTTGACCTCAAGAAGTGCTGTCTTCAATATAAATTGCAAAACTTCTAAGGCGAATGGGCGGTTTCTGTTCCATTGTCTATGGACACTTATTGTTGATGCGGGGAATTATGTTGCTCATGTGTCACCATATATTCAAATCTATGTATGTGTAAATATTATGGCTGCATTATGTGTTGGGCTGATTGTTATATTCATGGCACCCCCTGCTGAGACTCACAAAGCCTCCCACACACTTCTTTAAAACAGTCTCTCTTTTTTTCCCCTTTTATCTTTTTTGCAAAGTATGTTTAATTTAGAATTCCTTATCTACGATTTTATTAATAGCCTGCTAGATAATCCCATATAGGATTAAAGTTTAATTATCAGTTTAGGAAAACATTACTTTTACTGTGATGTAAGATCTTTTGAAATGAAACCCTTTTTTGTTCATGCAGACTATGCAAGTAACATATAGGAGATGCGTGGCTAGGGCTATAGAAAGAAAAGTGTTTTAACTCCTTCATTTGATAATTCAGTAGTGAGACTGCAGGGGCATGACCTATACTGCTTTATTAAACTAAGGTTGTTTTGGTGCCTGAGTAACTGACCCCTTAACACCATAAAATAATGTAATGCTGCTATGATGAATACATAGCCTTGTTATTCACTTGCTTCCTGATATAAAGCATGCCTTGTGGTTTGGAATATAGCCCCTGGCTTAAAATCTGACTGAACTGTTTCCTTCTGTAGGTGAAAGACTCTGTGTCTCAGAGAAACCTCGGTTTGATGAGGATGCAGTTTTGGAGGGATGCTGTCCAAGAAATATACAGTGGGAACACCCCTCATCACCCTGTTGCGCTAGAACTGTCAAAAGTAATTTTATTTTAATTGTATGAATTGAGCATTCTATCTGTTATTTAAAAGTAACTGAAAGAACTGTGGAAAATAAGTTGTTGACTTAAAATCAGCATTCACCAGCACCTGTATGTAGGGTCGAAGGTTATGTACAGTGAGGGGAAAAAAGTATTTGATCCCCTGCTGATTTTGAATGTTTGCCCACTGACAAAGAAATGATCAGTCTATAATTTTAATGGTAGGTGTATTTTAACAGTGAGAGACAGAATAAAAAAAAAACAAATATCCAGAAAAACGCATGCAAAAAAAGCTATAAATTGATTTGCATGTCAATGAGTAAAGTAAGTATTTGATCCCCTATCAATCAGCAAGATTTCTGGCTCCCAGGTGTCTTCTATTTAGGTAACAAACTGAGATTAGGAGCCAGGGCCGCCATCAGGGGGTGACAACCATAACGGTTGTCACGGGCCCGGCGGCCTTGGGGGGCCCACGTGCACGCTGATGGGGCCCACCGGGTGGCCCACGCACTTAGGGCCACCCGATGGGCCCCATATCTTCAGGGGCCCGGTCAGCGCTGTGGCCGTGGTATAGCGCGACTGGGCCCCTTTTAAAAAAAAAAAAAAAATGCAGCTGCAGCGCAAGTTTTGCTGGGAGGAAGTGGTCACTTCCTCCCAGCTCACTCCGCGCGGGAGGAGCGTGCGCCCGGCAATGAAGAGGGAGAGCCAGCCGACTCCCAGTCCCATCAGCCCCAGCCACCCTCCTGTTTCTTACCTTGTCTTTGCAGGAGGGTGGCTGGAAAATGAGCTGTGAATGTATGTCTATGTCTGTCTGTGTGTATGTATGTCTGTATCACATTATGGATGTCAGTGTCTGTATGAATGTATGTCTGTATGTCATTATGAATGTGTGTATGTATGGATGTCAGTGTCTGTATAAATGTATGCATGTCATTATGTGTGTATGTATGTCTGCATGTCATTATGAATGTATCTGTATGTCCTTTTGCATGTGTGTCTGTATGTATGTTAGTATGTGTCTGTCACTATGTACGCCTGTGTGTCTGTATATGTGTGTATGTCTCAATATGTGTGTGTCAGTATGTATGCCTACATGCGTATCAGTATGTGTGTCTGTATGTATGTATGTTAGTATGTGTCTGTCACTATGTACGTCTGTATGTGTGTATGTCTCAGTATGTGTGTGTCAGTATGTATGCCTATATGCGTATCAGTATGTGTGTCTGTTAGTATGTATCAGTGTGTGTGTGTGTATCTGTGTCCTTTTGTATCAGTGAATGTGTTTGTGTCTGTGTGTGTGTATTCCTGTGGGCGGGATTTGGAGGCGGTCTCCGTGGGCGGTTTTGGAGGCGGGCCCCCAGGGGCCCATACCCTGAGCTCAGTTAGGGGCCCCAAAATTTCTGGTGGCGTCCCTGTTAGGAGCACTCTCTTAACCCCTTAAGGACACATGACATGTATGACATGTCATGATTCCCTTTTATTCCAGAAATTTGGTCCTTAAGGGGTTAAAGGGAGTGCTCCTAATCTCAGCTCGTTACCTGTATAAAATACACATGTCCACAGAAGCAATCAATTAGATTCCAAACTCTCCACTATGCCAAGACCAAAGAGCTGTCCAAGGATGTCGGGGACAAGGTTGGAATGGGTTACAAGACCATCGACAAGCAGCTTGGTGAGGTGACAACAGTTGGTGCGATTATTTGCAAACGGAAGAAATACAAAAAAACAGTCAGGCTCCCTCGGTCTTGTGCCCAATGCAAGATCTCACCTTGTGGAGTTTCAATGATCATGAGAATGGTGAGGAATCAGCCCAGAACTACGCAGGAGGATCTTGTTAATGATCTCAAGGCAGCTGGGACCATAGTCACCAAGAAAACAATTGGTAACACACTACACCGGGAAGGACTCAAGAAAGCACATGAACAGGCTCGTCTGAAGTTTGCCAATGAACATCTGAATGATTCAGAGAAGAACTGGGTGAAAGTGTTGTGGTCAGATGAGACCAAAATTGAGCTCTTTGGCATCCACTCAACTCACAGTGTTTGGAGGAGGAGGAATGCTGCCCATGACCCCAAGAACACCATCCCCACCATCAAACTTGGAGGTGGAATGCCCTCAGCCAGGGCATTGAAAATGGGTCATGGATGGGTATTCCAGCATGACAATGACCCAAAACACACAGCCAAGGCAACAAAGGAGTGGCTCAAGAAGAAGCACATTAATGCTTCTATAGAGACCGAGCCTTATTTTATAGTTAGGATAGCCTTATGCCTATCCCACACATGCTTAAACTCCTTTACTGTGTTAACCTCTACCACTTCAGCTGGAAGGCTATTCCATGCATCCACTACCCTCTCAGTAAAGTAATACTTCCTGATATTATTTTTAAACCTTTGTCCCTCTAATTTAAGACTATGTCCTCTTGTTGTGGTAGTTTTTCATCTTTTAAATATAGTCTCCTTCTTTACTGTGTTGATTCCCTCTATCATATCCCCCCTGTCTCGTCTTTCCTCCAAGCTATACATGTTAAGATCCTTTAACCTTTCCTGGTAAGTTTTATCCCGCAATCCATGAACCAGTTTAGTAGCACTTCTCTGAACCCTCTCTAAGGTATCAATATCCTTCTGAAGATACAGTCTCCAGTACTGTGTACAATACTCCAAGTGAGGTCTCACCAATGTTCTGTACAATGGCATGAGCACTTCCCTCTTTCTACTGCTAATACCTCTCCCTATACAACCAAGTATTCTGCCAGCATTTCTGCTGCTTTATTACATTGTCTGCCTACCTTTAAGTCATCAGAAATAATCACCCCTAAATCCCTTTCCTCAGATGTTGAGGTTAGGACTCTATCAAATATTCTGTACTCTGCCCTTGGGTTTTTTACGTCCAAGATGCATTACAAGAAACATCTGACCACTGTGATTGCCAACAAAAGTTTTGCCACCAAGTACTAAGTCAAAGGAGTCAAATACTCATTGACATGCAAATCAATTTATAACTCTTTTTTGACGTGCGTTTTTCTGTCTCTCACTGTTAAAATACACATACCATTAAAATTATAGACTGATCATTTCTTTGTTAGAGGGCAAACGTTCAACATCAGCAGGGGATCACATACTTTTTTCCTCTCACTGTAGCATCATGTAACCGACCTATTCACAGTACAGGAAAACCTTCCATGATCTGACAGAGACATCTGTGTGATAGCGAACACAGCATTCACCAATCGCCATATACACTGCTTAAAGAGAAACTGCCACTTTGGAAGTTATGGTCTGTGCTGTTAGCATTTTATTTAGATATTTTAGTAAAAATAAAACACATTTGTAAGTGTGATGCATGGCATCATGGGAAATATATTCACAGTGGCACACCTGCAGTATTATGGAAAGATGACCACACCTAGAAGTACAGTGGATGCAAGTGTGTGTTCTTGCTGTACACCTCACCCCAGTATGCGAGGTCTTCTGGAATCCTATAAAATTGAACTGTTGTCCACATAAAGGTTTTTAATTATGAAGATATTGTTGCAAATACCGGGAAAGATGGCAGGACATAAGATTTATTGGGGCTTTTTACTTGCAGAATGTTTTTACATGACCAATGATAATATGTACAATCTGGTGTCTACTTTATAATGCTTGGGATGTGTAGAACAGCCTGAAAATGGGAAGAGAAGATGGGTCGCTTGGTTCCTCCCTGTAACTATTCAGGTAATTAGGCTACTAGCCAGTTTCCAAGTGTTTGTTTCTAATATTCATATTCTCACAATAGTTTCTGAAATGAATTGAAAAATAGCTTTAAAAATGTTCTGAAAATATTCCAGAGGTATTCCATTGAGTGGGACTATAATATAAGACCTAATTTCCTTCTCACTGGGTCTAGACCCCCAGGTTCTTCCTTTAAGTGAGATACATCTTGTTAATGGGCTGGGTTATGCCCTCAACACAAGGTCAGGAACATATAAACTGATTTTTATGATGAAATTTAGGCACTGTCTATATACCTCAAAAAAATATATTTATATAGAGACCGAACTTCACATAGCCTGCTATGCTCAGATCCAGAACTGTTGGAGCATCAGATCTCATTTCTGTTTTCTACTCTTCAACAGTGTGGACTCCCAGCCCTGACATTTATTGCAGAATGAGAAATGGCACTGCACCACACTGGCACAAGGTTTGTGACCTGACTCACCACTGCTACCTGGCAAGTAAAGTACAGGAAGTGGTGTGTATATAATTATATGCCTCTGGTAAGAAGAAAAAGAAAAAAACACCACTCACTGCCCAGCCCGTAGACCTGATTAATGATATCCTGTGACATTTATTCACCTTTGGTTGTAAAGCCCACTTACAATCATATTCTGAAAGAAAACACATGGCATGATTGTTTGATTGTTTTTTTTTTTTTAACAATACAACGTCATTCCCATCTGCCCTGCTTTTGCCGCACCACGTGACTTTAGCCAGTTCTGCATACAGATAACCCTAATAGTTAATTCAGCTCTTAAATATAGCTTAGTATGTAGAGCCACTAGTCTGGAAACAATGCACCTATCTCACATGGACACTGGGGTTCACCAAGATGGAAGAGCTATGATCGGTGTAGGAAGCGCTACCTTTTAACTCATTAGGGAGAATCCAGATCAATGCTGCCATATAGACATGATATTTATTGATTTCACTAGAGGTCACATTTTCAGTGGTTATTCATCTAATCCAACAACAAAACATTATAGAAATCATATTCATTAAAAAAATACTACTTTTGTTAATATAATTGGAAATGTCAGTGATGTTTGGAAAGGTACATTTTGTGTACTGATCTTCATCCAAAGGTGTACCTGATGTTTTTGGTTAATGTAGCTGAAAATTCTTTTTTTTTTTTTTAAAACTGGTATGCACACACAGATGTTTGTAGCCACAATGGTGTGTGTCTGGGACTGGGGGAAAAAAATCAAATTACCATAATTTGTGGCAGAAATAAAAACTACCTCTAAACTGTTGAATACTATGTGTGTACAACTTGGAATCCAAATGGCAACATTTTATGCCAAAACAAAGAGTTAAGAAGACCGTTACAATTAAGTCTTACCTGTGCAGCTAATAATTTTTCTGTTAATTTTTCCAATCACTACTCTTCACCATTTAGTGAATAAACCCTTATGTTTTATGCACCTTACTGTTTCTGAGATCACCGTTTACTCTTGATTGTGTTTATTTTAAGGCTGTCCAGAAGCACAAGCTGACGAAGAGATGGCTGACCAGGATTGTAGATGAAAGAGTGAGTATGCATCGTTGTTTCTTCTCCAATTATTACTTAAAGTAAGCATGTCAAACTCAAAGGCTAACACAGGCCAAATAAACAAGGTTTAAGTTTATATGCGCTGGAAAAAAAAAAACTTCAGTTTTTGTAGAATCGTAGGTTTATTTAGAAAAGTACAGTATAAAAAAAAAAAGTTGCCTAACTGACACTGGACGTCCTCACTCTCGTAGGGTTTCAAAGTAAGCAAAAGAACAAATGTATTTTAAGGAGACGTGCATTTGCATATAACCAATGTTTCAATCCAACTAACTTCACATAGTAAGAAAAGTTTGGTAATGGGACTGACGGTGAATGTATGCTGTTACACAGCTGTAAAAAACAAATTACTTTTTCTTGTGGATTTTTAAGTCCTATGAGGGTGTTCTTCACTTTGGCTGAGATCATCAAACTTGATGATCTCAGTCAATCCTATGCTTTCCCATATTATTATTACTGGTATTTATATAGCGCCCAGCATATTCCGTAGCGCTTTACAATATTATCAAAGGAGGAGACTTAACAATAAATGAGAAAATTACAAAAACTTACAGGAACAATAGGTTGAAGAGGGCCCTGATCAAACGCGATTACAGTCTATAGGATAGAAAAGCATTGGGAGGCTATTGTGCATGTGTGGGGAAAAAAGCTGCGCTGCCAATCATCATCTCCATGGGGAGCGTTCAGCGCCCCCATGCAGGCCCAATCTAATACACGGCCCACTCCCTCCCCCAATTTAATACACAGCCCCCTACCTGCCTCAAATGAATACACTTTCCCCCCCTGCCCAAATATAGCACATTACACAGGAAGGTCCCCCAAATCCCTCTTCCCCTACCTTAAGATAAGCTGCCAGTCCTCCAGTTCCAGCCCTGCTTTTCTCTGCTCAAGCAGGCCAGACGCTCCTCTAGCACTGCAAGCAGGAGGGAAGGGGGAGTGACTGGTCTGCGGGAGCTCGCGATCGGCCATGGGAAGGAAGACAAGAATCAGACAAAACAAAGTGGGCCCCAGGGCAGGTGGACCACAAATGTATCCATTGTGGGCCACAGGTTTGACATGCTTGCCTCAATGGATTATTCCAACCACCATAACCACTAAAGCCTGCTGACCCCATGCTTGGATTGGCTCTCTTAAAATACATTGCAGACACCATAACCACTTTTGCCACTTAAATTGGTTAAGCTATTGGGATTCTGTCCTTGCAGTCTTACGATGCATTTTTATTTTTCATTATGGCAATAAAGGGATTTTAAGCGTACCTCATTGTTGGGTTTGCGTGACTTGTCAGACAGAGAGCTAGGAATTATCCTTCCTGGCTCACAGCACACAATGTATGCTTCCCACATCCAAATAGAACACTATCTTTCTTTAAAATTGGTGTTTCATGGAGCCTGTACAGGTTCTCAACAAAGTTTCAGTGACATTTCCCTCTTGGGACTTGCAGTCACTCACTTTTGTGGATATTACTAAGTGTATTGAGAGCCTGCAATAATAATACACAGCTCTCTGAATGACAGGGCTTGGTGTTGGTGGCTACAGCGTCCCTTCAAATGTCTGTAGTTCTTTTTTTATTTTATTTTTTCATATATTGTGATACTTGAATTATACTATAGTATACAATTTGTATTTTATTTTTTCATATATTGTGATACTTGGATTATACTATAGTATACAATTTTTGTATTTTATTTTTTTGATTGTAAATGTATTTTTAGCCCAAATTATTTGCAGAGTACACACTGCCAGTTTCATTATTTTGCTACAGTTTGCTAGAGTAGCTACATTTTATGTCCGCATGACATAGTGGACTAACGGAGCATATAGTTGGACACCTTTGGGCACAAAATATGTATGCCTCCTTCTTTATTTTCTTCTTTTTTCCCGTACCTTGAAAAGATCCACTTTGCAATTCCAACATTTTGCCAAATCTTTCATTTTAGCATTGTATAAGAATGATTATATTATATGTTATGTTTAAAAAGAAAAATAGTTTAACTCCAGCCTCCAGTGCCACTGTTAATGTGATAATAGTGCCACCTGCTGGCCACTATGCTGCAAATCACACCAATTTTGTGCTGATGAAGTGTGTGTCCTCATAGGGTATCATGGTTATACAGTAAACTGATTATCAGGAGTTCATCAGAGCATTGTATATTTTAGAAGAACACTTAAACAAAGTTTAAATAGCTTATCTATTGTTCTAATTATTTGGACAATTCACAATTTAGGGAATGTATGGCCTGTTTGTATGCAAAACTAAATTATCTCTCTACAGCACTCCCTATTTAGCCTTTTGTAACTGTTTACATTGTTTTTAATTATATGAATTTGTTGGAGAATTGTATTTGTTTTGTTTTTCTGGTCTGGTCTATTTTCTCTATTGGCACTTGTGACCCAGATATTTCCCCTTTGTCTCATTTCATGTTACCAATCCCTAGATTTCAGTCTTCCTTTCCTGTTTGTCTCTTCACATTATACCATTACCCCCTCATACTTTGCTCTCTTAGAGTTAGCTATGTCTTGATTGGGGCAATGCTTTGCAGGGCAAATAGAAGATCTCAAACCGCAAACGTTTCCCTATTGGATCAGTGTAGATTAATTGATAGTTACCAAATATTCAGATGGTTTGCTGAATTGCTGTTTGTACTGATTGTATTTTATTGATACTTTCCAATTACAGTCATGTATGTTTCATACCAAGTAAACAATTAAAAACATTTTTGGTTTGTTTCTAGGAAAATAATCTGGATAATAGGGCTTATGGAAGCCTGAAAGATTTAGAAACGTATGCAGAGAACACACAGAGTTCCCTACTGTACCTTATCTTGGAAACACTTGGTAGGTAAACATATCCTCTGTGTAAAGCACAGAACGGTATTTGTATTTAACTCCTTAATGACCAAATATTACACTTTGCTGTCATCACAGTCTGTTTGTGTGTGCTACGGCAATTTAATACCCACGTCCTGCAAGAAATCAAGGTGGCAGCACAGGACAGAAGATATTTGGTTAATAACTCCTAAAGCAATGACATCTATAATTTATCACTATGATAACTTGTATATTAATTGCTTAACCCCCTTAAAGAGTAACTGTCATTTTCTTAATTTCTTCATTGGAACTCTGTAGGTATATGTTGTTCCCTAAGTTTCTCTTTAAGCTGACCCCAACAATTCCCTACCTAGTTTCACTTCTTTCTTCACCAGACCATGCCCTTTAAAGAGATATCTCCCCTAATCAAAAGAAGCAGAAGACGGTTGTATAGTAAATCTGTGTACCAAAATACCTAAATGTAGTTTCAGAAATTGAAATGGAAAAACTAAAACTTTTTGAAGCTACTCGAGCAATTGTTCATGCAAAGTCATGAGCCGAAAAGAAGACGAGAGAACGGATAAGAGGCGACTGAGGGAAGAGTACAGAGTAAGAAAAATAAGATAATGATGGGAGAGGCCTAGCGTTCGACCTAGTGCTGGCTCAAGGGACATGCATCAGTTGACACTTTATAAAATAAATAAATAAAAACTAGTAAGCAAATCCTTCAAAAAAAGTTATTATGGAGCACGTGAAACCTAGCCGAGGCCTTCAAATTGCATAATAATTATTGTATCTATGATACAGTGAGACAGTTCCTCCATGTATCCTATGTGCTCCTTGCGCAACTGTCCTCTTGCACAGGGCAGCATACGGTGCATGCTTGAGCAAGGATTTCTTGTAAGTGTAAATCAGAAGTCGCTTCCAACAAAACTTTAATAGGTCAGTGATTTATCATTCTGGGAAACAAGAGCCTAGCAACGCCATTGTGAAAGAAAATACAATAATCTGCACAATATTAAACATTTGAGGTCAAGTCATGTGTAGAAGGTTGCCTCCGTTTAAAGTTGGTGTATTAACCATGCTGGGGATGCAAAACAGGAACTTTATGAGATAATTAATGAATTACATTGACCTTGAGAATGTAACAAACCGCATCTTTCTGACCAAACTGTAAACTCCAACTCACAAACCTGTATACTCATGGGTGTCTCCTTGGCTGTAAAGGAGGTAGGTACTGGCAAGAAATCTAGTGCACTAGGGCATCCGGAAGGTAAGCTATAAATTACTTTCCTGGCCATATCCATGGCAGCACAACAATGGGTAGCTCCTCCCTATCCCTAACCAGACAGGAACCTAATTAAAACAGAAGGTATAAGTAACCCCTCCTACCCCTCCCACCCTCAGTCTTTTTGTTCCTGTCCTATCCCTAGGACAGATTTAGTCATTCTAAGACTAGATAATTTTTTCTTTTTGGCTTACCTGAGGGTTGTTACCTTCTCCCTCAAGGGAGTTCAGCCTCTCTCCCTTGGGCAGTCTCCAGTACACGGCCCTGTGCAAAGTTGACCCCCTGGAGAGACCCCTTTAGTGACCGGGGGTTCTAACTTGCTGTGACCCTAGGGGTAGCAAGATCATGCCATCACCATGATTCCTGCAGTGACCAAGAGGTAGCAGGCTGGGCATGCACATACAGAGCAGATGGATTTACTTGCGGTGACCCTAGGGGTAGCAAGATTATGCCATCACCATGATTCCTGCAGTGACCAAGAGGTAGCAGGCCGGACATGCACATACAGAGCATGTGGATTGCAAGGATTAATATGACATTGACTAACATTCCATTGCTGAAGGAGTTAATGTGAGACAGACTAGCATTCCATCGCTGAAAGGGTTAAAGTACAACTTACTATCTTTTTCTTTGCCATGGATTTACTTGCTGTGAACCTAGGGGTAGCAAGATTATGCCATCAGCCTATTTCCTGCAGTGACCAACGAGTAGCAGGCCGGACATGCACACGGATTGCAAAGATTCTATGAGATTAACATTTCATCACTAAAAGAGTTAATGTGAGATGGACTAGCATTCCATCACTGAAAGGCTTAAAGTACAACTCACTATCTTGTACTTTCCCATGGATTTACTTGCTGTGACCCTAATGGTAGCAAGATTTTGTCATCAGCCTATTTCCTGCAGTGACCAAGGAGTAGCAGGCTGGGCAGGCACATACAGAGCAAATATATGGATATAACCCCTTCTACCCTTCATTGGTTTCATCTAAATGGTAAGAGATTCCTGCTAATCTGAATTTCTATCAAACGTATTCCTAGGCTTCTGTGTCTTATTCCAAGGCCTCTGTGTCTTTTAATATATCCACTGGGTTACTTATTCCTAGGCCTCTGCTAGGCCTTTTAATATAGCAGTTGGATTCATTTATTCCTAGGCCTCTGTTGGGCCTTTTAATATAAGCACTGGAGTCACTTATTCCAAGACCTCTGTGTCTTTTAATATAGCCACTGGATTACTTATTCCTAGGCCTCTGCTAGGCCTTTTAATATAGCAGTTGGATTCATTTATTCCTAGGCCTCTGTTGGGCCTTTTAATATAAGCACTGGAGTCACTTATTCCAAGACCTCTGTGTCTTTTAATATAGCCACTGGATTACTTATTCCTAGGCCTCTGCTAGGCCTTTTAAAATAGCAGTTGGATTCATTTATTCCTAGGCCTCTGGGCCTTTTAATATAAGCACTGGAGTCACTTATTCCAAGGCTTCTGTGTCTTTTAATATATCCACTGGATTACGTATTCCTAGGCCTTTGCTGGGCCTTTTAATATAGCAGCTGCATTAATTTATTCCTAGGCCACTGTCGGGCCTTTTAATATAGCCACTGGAGTCACTTATTTCTAGACTTCTGTGTCTTTTAATGTATCCACTGGATTATTTATCTCTAGGCCTATGTTGGGCCTTTTAACTGGAGTCACTTACTCATAGGCTCCTGTGTCTTACTCCTAAGCCTCTGTATCTTTTAATACAGCCATAGGAATCACATTTTCCTAGGCATTTGTTATGCCTTTTAATATAGCAGCAAGCTTTTTCCTAGGCCTCTGTTGGGCCTTTTATTTTAACCGCTGGATTTACTTATTCCTAGGCCTCTGTTAAACCTTTTATGGCAGCTGTCTCACCTGAGTATGGTGAGATAGTTCAGTGGGCTAATACTTCATCAGAAGAATCTTTTGTCACTTGGGGCTCACCAGTTCAATTCTCTGCAGGTCTGACTCAGTCCTTAATTGTAAATAAAATGTGTACACTTGGAAACCAGAAAATATCTGAATGTCTCTTTCCTGGTTCAAGATTTGCAATAATTGTTTCTAGTGCCTTTTAATACAGCTGCTGGGTTCACTTATTCTATGTGCTTTTTAATTTCATTATTATATGCCTCCATGTTGGTTTTATGTATTTACTAAATTTATTATCCTACTTCAATGTCTCTGTACTTGGTAATAGGCTATTCGCTGTTCTGTTCCTCTATCTCAGCCTTTCAACCTGTTTTATTTTAAGTCCCTAAGTTTCCATTCTTACTTTTGGGCCCATTCAGGTTTTTTCCTCTGCGTTTAATCACCCGCGAATACGCAGGTGCTAGTCCAATGGTCGCGCCATGCCATTACCGCGCATGCGCGGAAATCTGATTCGCTCCTGCGTATTCTAAAATGTAAGCCCAGTTGCAGTGGTTGCAGGGTCATATTGGCTTCCCCTTTTCAGCACAATGTTTTCTTATAGGTTTTTCCTATATTAAGTAATTAGATTTGTGTGCAGTTTCCATCTTAATTTGAATTCTTCTTTTTGGTTTTGGTAAGTTTTTCTTTATCGAAGGTATATTACTTATTTTTCTGTACCTATCAATCTCTACTTATTTAGCAGAGATTTTCTTTGTAAAGGATAAAAAGAAATCTTATGCAGTTATGGATTCAAATCCCTCTGCTCCCAGAAAAAAGGTCACACTCTAAGAGACATAGGTAAGCCATTCTATTTTTTCTGTCATTACTAAACAAAAGAGTGCCTATCAATAATTGGAATTCCCTATAATGATAGCTCTACGGAAAGAAAATAATCCGGACCATACAAGGGAAGTCACACTAAAGAATTGTTTGTGAGGCATATGATAAGAGATCCTTGTAAAAGTAAAGTCTCTGCACAGACTGTCTGAAAGTGGCTACAGGCCCTTCTACCCATGCCTTGTGTATTACACAATATTAACAGGAGGTATCTCAAGACGTCATAGAAGCTGTTAAAGCTTGGATCCTCTGGACAATTCCCAGAATGAATACTCTTAGGAATCCTGGGAGATGGATCCATTCAGAGATATAAAATCATCGGATGAGGCTATTCAGCCTATTTCAGTAGTCCAGAATCCGCTCATTTGATTTCCAGAGTCCTTTTACCTCTAGCCTTTCTTTTCGGATGTCAGAGGGTGCAGAGTATCTTTTCCAGTTTCCGGTCCCCTTAAGATCCTTAATGGAGGAATGGTTCTACACTGACAGAGGTTTTCAACACAAGGGAGTATCTCAGTCTTCATCCATTGGACACTAGTACCTGGGACTCTGCTCCTAAGTAGTAGATGCAGTCCTTAGACTGGCTAAATGTTCCTCTCTGCCTGTAAACAATGCGGGATCTCTATGAAACTCCACGGAGTATACATGGTTCTGCTCCTCTCTAAAGCCTATGTGGCAGCTGGCACAGGCTTTCATCTTGCTGTAAGGTTTTACCTCAATCTCTAAGGATCTAATATTGGTATGGATAAATTGGAGGAGCATATCAGAGATAAATTTCCTTTGTCTCTTGACAATTTACAAGTCATTAACCGGGAATAGTCTTCAGCTAAGAAGCCTACATAGGTTGCATTATATTATAGCCAGAAATATGACTTTCTTTGTGTCTATTAGCTGGGCTCTTTTGCTTAATACCTGGTCCACGGATGCATCCTCCTATATTAATGGATCAACAGAACGGCAGAGGGCAAGAAAGCTTGTCTACTTCAAGACCTAAGGTTTGGGAGACCCTTTCGATATAAAGATTCTCACTAACTTCCTTCTCAGACCAAGGTATTTCACACCATGAAGAGAGTGTGGTAGATCTCAACCTTGATGTAAGTGGTCATTATTCTACCAGAGGAAGAGAAAAGGTAAAAAGAGATGCTTTGTAAATCTCATGGCTTCCCTTCAATTAGAGGAAGCTATTGTGAGAATTTTTTTTTTAAAAGCAACTAGAACACAAAGAATCTGTTTCTAACAGGTGTTGGAGATCCATTCTAATTTACAGGATTCTTGAACATTCTTATTTATAAAGGTAGTATTCTTAGTACATTGGATAATGTCTATAGATTTTCAGGATGCTTATTGCCATGTATCCTTTGCCTCACATCACTTTTATTTTTACATCTTCATGATGAAAGATGAATGTCTGCTGTAGTCACCTTGCTCCCTCCCAGTTCAGGGTATAGCTGGAAATACAGTTCGACATGGTCCAAGGCACGGTACAGCTCTTTTAAGACTACCATATTACTCCAGCAGAGAGAGTTTTGATCCAGGTCCTCCACCATAGATCTGATAAGTTGTCACAAGGGCAGAGGTTAACTTACCTATGGAAATCCTTTGGACAGTGATAACTATGAATACCATCCACTGGGGTTGAGGAACCTTTCTCAAAATTCTCAATATGTTCAGGAAAGGGACTCCTTTAACATCCAACATTTCTCTTCTGCATAGGTTGCAAGAGCCAATATCAATCATCCTGACAGTTCCATATTAATACCCAGTCCATGGTTTCCACTTCTACTTATCTTCTTCAGTGCCTCCATGGGATCTCCCACAATAGTTCTTCCCTCTTCCATCAGGTCCAGTGCTACTTTCCTCATTTTGAAGGTTTCGATAATGTAGAAGGGCTTAAATATAAGAGGTTTTTGAACTACCAAGAAGGTTCTAAGTTCTTCAATCCAGGACTTATCTAGGAATTGGCCACATCACCTCAGAGATATGTCTCAGCACTCTCTGATCTCTCTTTTCGTGAAAGGGCTTTAATATAGAAGTATCTAAATTTCTGTCGGTTGTATTTATATGATCCCACGGTTATCTATTGCTCTCCGTGGAATTCTTTCCTGTTTTTTTTTTAGGGCTCTGAAATTTTTACCCCTTTTAACCATGAGAGTATATCTCTCCACATTTGCTTAACATTAAGTTAGCTATATCGTTGACATTGGCATGGACTGAAGGATATTAGATCCTCAAGCACTATTTTGCATAGAATGTAGAGTCCATAATAAAACTTTCTCCTCCTGTCCTAGATAGATGCCTTAAGATCAATTTTTATAGATCCGCTTTCTGGATTTCTTCTGTTTATCTTTACTAATAGACCACAAAGATCTTCAAGCCAACAGCAGATGGATAGTCTTGGCTGTTTTTTAGGCTACTAAACAGTACTTACAGTACTTAAAGATATGTTTGCTCTAGAGCCATTTCTCCCTCTTGAGCATCGGTGGCCAAGCTTCCCTGGAACTTGTAGGTAAATGGCTGCTTAGTCTCCAATCAATTTGCAGACATTTTTTTTTTTGTGTACATTTGAGTTGGTCAATTTGATAATGTGCCATTAGTGGGCAATCAGTTTTTCATTTTGAATGTCCTTATGAGGTGTGTGTGTATGTTGTCAATTTGCATTCATATTTAGGAAGTCTTACTTCTTTCCCTCCCTTGGTTATTGCTTGGGTATTACCCATTGTTGTGCTGCCATGGATATGGCCAGGAAAAAGGAAAATGTATTCCTACTTACCGTAATTTTCTTTTCCTGGTCATAGGCCATGGCAGCACAAAGATCCCGCCCTGGGATATTGCTGGAAACAAGACTGAGGGTGGGAGGGGTAGGAGGGGTTACTTATACCTTCTGTTTTAATTAGGTTCCTGTCTGGTTAGGGATAGGGAGGAGCTACCCATTGTTGTTCTGCCATGGCCTATGACCAGGAAAAGAAAATTACGGTAAGTAGGAATAAATTTTCCTTTATTCTTGACGCAGAGCCTTTGGGGGAGTGTTGTGTAGATTGTTGAAGTACTGGATGTGTGCATCTGTCAAAGCTTGAACCACTTGGGAACGGAGATGTGGGGAATATCCATTGTCCCAATAAAGTAAGTAACATCTGCAGGCTGTTTGATTGAGTGCCCCATTGGTTGTCTCTGTGGACCTGCAAGGCTATATGAAAAGCCCCATTCATATTGGTTATTCCAATCCCTCAGAGCAGAGAGGATTTTAAAAATAGAATAAAATTCAATTTCTCTACTAAAAGCTGATGCCAATGGTTTGTAATAGCAGCTATGTTTACAATCCCATGCCATTTTAGGCTATTAGGAAGAAATCCACAGTAGCTTTTTTTTTTTTAATGTTTTATGTATTGGGAATAATTACTGTAACGACTCTTTCTTCATATTTCTGGATTTATAGATTCTACACGTTCACTGTGCTTTTTTTCTTTTTGTCGCACAGATGTAAGAGATGTCCATTCTGATCATGCAGCTAGCCACATTGGCAAGGCGCATGGCATCATCACCTGCTTGAGAGCGGTTCCTTATCACAGCAGCAGGCGGCAGGTCTTCCTTCCTGTTGACATATGCATGCTGGTAAGTAAAAAATAAATAAGTGAATAATAAAATCCTATTTGATTCTGATTCTAAAGGTTTCATGTCCTTTCTACAAAATAATTAACACCGACAGATTTTTGACTATAGTTGAGACGAAACTGGTTCCGCTTTTGTTCAACTTAATTGTCTGAAACATAAATTAGCGCTTTGGACAAGTTGTTACCAAGGTAACATGTTTGGATATAGAGGTTTTGGAAAGCTTAGAATGACAGCTTTAGGAAATGGCTTTGAGAATAAGTTCTTTTTTTTTTTTAAAAATTTTTTTTAATTTCTATTTCTTTTTTTTTAATAAATGTATCTAGAAAAACAATCTCTAATAATAATAATAATTCACATTCATATCACTTGGAAAGACAGGCAATGTACATAGTTAGAAGTAGTAATTCATAGGCATAACAATGTGGTGCAACTTGGAGAAGGTTTGTTGGCTCATTGATCAAAATATAAATTTTCCAGCATCAAGCCTTAATCATGATTAAGTCTTGACACCGAAACATTGTATTTAAAGAGAAACTATAGTGCAAGAAAAACAAACTTGTTTTCCTGACACTAAAGCTTCATCCTCCCTGGCATTGTGTTAGGACCTGCAGCATCAGGTGACTAAAAGTCTAGTAGCCACTAGAGGTTGAGTAAACCCTGAAAGGTAATTATTTAAGTTTTTTTTTTTTTTTTTTTTTTAAACTGCATTAATTACCTTTCCAGGGTTAGGGATCTGGAACATTGCAATGATCTGAAGTGGTCTGGGTGCATATTTTTAGCCTTGGAAAAATTGTAGTGTCGCAATTTGCCAACAATTGGACAGCCAGGAATTTGGCAACTGTCTGGTTATTGTTGGTTTATTAAAAACAGCACCAGTGAATCACAGACATTTAGTTTTTTTTCCCTATCAATTTGTCTGCCTAAACAGCTGTGAGTATTTTGATAAAACACAAAGGTCTATTGTCTAAACAATATATTGTGGTAATCTGCAATTCAGATTACAAAAAAAAACAGGATAAAATAATAAAATGTTCCCATAATAAACACTTAATTGTTCCTGTGAGTGTTTTCCAATGATCATCACAATTTGCTTCAATTAGTTCCCCATTAATTTCTCGAAGAAAACACATAATGCAAGCCTTGTAGCGGACTCACACAGTACTCTATGATACGCTGATAATCACACTGCAGAGTGCTGCCTGGATACTGCAATGGCTTGGGAATAATCTTGCTCTTCCTGCAAACCATAGTTTCACTACTTTCCGATCAACCACATTGTACAGTCTGGATTACATTATTTATTTGTTTTTGCATATTGGGGAAGGCTGATGTGAGTTAAATATAAAGCGAGGTAGAGTTAACCCTGCAATGTTCTCAGAAACTACAGTGTTTTACATTGCAGGGTTAAACAGACAGGGGCACTGCACCCAGACCACTTCAATAAGATGGTGAGGTATGGGTGCCGATAGTGTCCCTTTAATATTAGCTGTGACCTGCTCGCAGAGTAGAGTTCACTCTGACCACTAGGACCGCCATGGCTTCCCCACCGGACCACCAGGGATTGTCTTGCACTGTCCCCCGTCCCAGGCAAATGTAAGCATGGAGGGGGATATGAAAAAAATTATATATTTATTAATTTGCCCTCCAACCCCCACAGAGACACACTAACTCCCCCCATACCCACACTGGCCCCCTACACACTGCCCCATTACACACACACACTCTGTACTCCCCACACACGCTGTACCCCAGGTAAGTTGTCAAACTGTTCTTAAACAGTTTGATTACTTACTCTGGTAGGGCACTACTGGCACCATAACCACTACAAAGTTCTCTAGTGGTTATTGTGCCTGGATTACTTCTTTAAATAATCTACCAGTGACCTCCCAAGATTAGGTTCTGGATCTGCACTTGAACAGAAAGCATTTCTGCCGGACAGGGGCCCAGTATATGCCACTGCGCTGTACATATATATACAACCTAGAAAATTGTTTTGACTTGGGGCACCTTGGAAAAATATTGAAATATTAAAGACACCTTGAAACTAAAAAGTTTGGAAACCACTGGTCTTACCATTGATTTATAGAAAGATGACATTATATTTTCATTCCAAGAATTAATGCCCCTTTTTATACATTACAATACCTTACTGGCATTAGCATCTGCTGATTGACATTGCACATTGTTGCATAGTTTGTTGTCTACAACAATTCCCAACTTTGGGAACTTTGCAGAATTTGCAAAGACACTTGACTGCGACATAACCGCTGGAGGTTGATGGGGGGCTAACGTCACTGCTGAACTCTCTCGCATCCTCCATAGATAAAGCCACTTCCCTGCAGCCATCACTGATGACAGCTGAGGGGATTGACACTTCTATACGGCAGTAGCTCGACCCAGAATCTAGACGTGTTAGGCGTAGGAAATCTAAAGAGACAAAGTATTCCATATCTCTTGACTGAGTTAGAATTTCAGTGAAATTCCAACACGGTCAATATGAGTATTTCATCAAGATTCTATCTCATTCTTCTAATCATTTTTCAGGGGAGTGTGACAGTGCTGCTTGAAAGAGACATTCTAACTACCATAACAAATCCAGCCCAGCACTCAGTCTGTGCAGCATACTCATACATGCTGTCCAAATACTTGTATGGATAAAGAGGAAGTGAAACTCCTCACTATTATGTCACCCGCTAAGGGGGAGGGTTTGAGGTTCCTGAGAATTCCAAAAGCCCACAAGGACTACACAGATAGCCTAGAAGAGCCATTACATGACCACATCAATAAACTGTAGTAAGTCCCATTTAATGTCAGTTTTAGAGACAGGTAACTTGCATCACTTCAGCTGCTACAAGACATACCTAAAATAAATTGCCTAAAAATGGCTGATGATAATGAGTCATAGTCCACAGCTTGGCATATTTCTTGTAGTCTGCTGTTTTCTATGGATTTATTACTTTCTCTAATCCTTACATGACTAAGATGTTTTTGTTTTTTAACCCAGCATGGCACATCTCAAGAAGATTTCATTCGCTGTAGCCAGGAGAAAAATGTCAAAGATGTCATTTTTGATGTTGCCAGTCAAGCGCATGTTCATCTGGAGCATGTAAGTTATTACTTACTGTTGTAGTTAATATGAAGACGTGCTGCTTTACTTGTCATTTGTCCTTGATGAGTATTTGCAACCTTTCTTTTTTATAACGGTTCATTTTAACCTGGTGTAACAGTTTTTTCTTTTCATAGCTTATTAAATTGCTTGCTTGCAAAGAAGGAAGTGTTACTTTTTGTTAATCTAAAAATTTTTTTAAGATGCTTTTAAAAAAATAAATAATAATAATAAACAAAACACAAAAATGTACATCATTTTAACTTCAACTGCTTATGCTGGCAATATGGCTACGAGCAATATATTTGAAATGTAACGGATTAGATATCACGGGGTTCCCTGAGACTGGAAAGGCTATCCGCTGTGGCAGTACAAATGTGTGCGAGTTCTGCCACCTCTCTCCCCTCCCCTCTTCACTCGTCCCCCGAGTGTATCCACCTCATTATTGACCTTCCACACTTCAGTTGCCAAAATGAGTTTCAGCTCCTTCAGGAGCGCTTTAATATCTCCTTTGTTGGAGGGTATTTCATCCTCCTTATTGTAGGATTGTAGAGGCCTGCTGTTGGAAAGACATTGGGAGCATTTATCTTGCGTTCCTCCGAGGACGGGGACTCCTTTACTGGCTCTGCCGCCATCTTAAGTCTAGGGTCTCAGTAGGCCGCGGGCCAGGCAATCCCCGATTTATCATGAGAAGTCCGCTTTTTTTTTTTTTTTTGAAAGCACTTCCCCATAGTTGTATCAGTCAGGAAGCGTATCTGTGCCAGATATCAACCTAGGAATTCGTGCCCAAAATCTGTATTTTACAGGCTGCGGAACTCCAGTGTGCCTTTTTATTATTCTTCCTGTTCCTTTTTAGGTTGCGGACCTATTTCTTGCTGAGGCTCCTACTTGAATCCTTACACATTCCAAATATAATGAAAGCATGTTTTATTAAAATTATTTTTAGATTTCTGCTCTATTCACTCAATAGTGCTTCTGGATCTAATTATACCTGAGGGAATGCTTCGGGATCTAATTATAAAATCAATTTTTATAATTATTATTTAAAATAAAATTTGCTTTATAATTATAACCCAGAGCATGTTAATTTTAGTGTTTGACTTCCAGTTACACAGGATTCTAAATTTTCCAAATTGTAAAGAAAGACAAGTTTTATTTACGGGACGAGATGATGACGTTTTGTTTGGTTATACACATATGCTGGAGATCCATTTGGAACTTAATTTAGATGCTGGCGATCAACTATAAACTGATATCCAATTTTTAAAATTATCCTGTCTTCTGCTTTGAAACTTTAGTTAAATCCGTTCCAAATGCCTTATATACATAATGTATTGCAGAGATACATGATGTGTTCTGTGTATATTTTTGAGCTGTACTCTCTTCTGTTCAATTCCCACCATGTTCTGTGCTTTGTGTAACACCCAACTGTAGTCCGCCCATTGCGCCTCACAGTCTCATGTAAAATATGCCCTGCTTCAGGATGCTTTACCCACACAAAGTAAATTTTCTGTGTGTTGCTGACCCACTGGCCTCATTGCCGCATGACCGTGCTATTTGTGCAGAACACAAGGACCGCTGCCGGTGGGAAGTCTTTTCTGTTCTTCTTTCACCATCAATTCTTAGTCCCTTGTTAGTTGATTCATAGATGCTATGCTGAAGATTTGACTGGCAGCTGGGAGAAAGGGCTATACATTTCCTAGCAAAACCGGTAGCACAATGTATAGCTAGCATTTTATGCTCTTTCAAAAAAGCCCTAGACATGACAGATGCTCTTTAAAGATCCCTTTTTAATGTTTATTTTTATTTATTTATTAAAAAAAGGTTGTCTCTAAGCATAAGACATCTTTATGATCTCTCTGTTAAAGGGACATTGTAGTCACTATAAGCATTTCATCTCTTTGAATTGGTTATAATGCCTGGAGTGCCTGCCCTCCATTCAGTGTTGCACCATGTTCGTGCAGTATGCCACAAAATAAGAGTCCCTGGCCACCCACAGTCCGGCCCCTTCTGTATGTGTAGCTAAGGCAGAGATTACACACTTCCTTGTTGTCATACCCATTCATACCGTCAGTTGGAACTCTGACAGGCTAAAAGCAGTCAGCTGACACTCTCAGCCAATCACAGCTGCCCATTGCTGCTCAGGGTAATACTTCCTTATTAGCCAAAGCAGCACAGAGGGGATGGATTGCCGGGGACTCTTGTTTAGCATTAAAGCATTAAAACTTTAAAAACTGTTTAATGCTGAAAGAAATTATGGTACCAGAGGACTCCAGGCACTATAACCAGTGTAATGAGATGAAGCAGATACAGTGCCTACGGTGTCCCTTTAATATTTAAATATAAAATCCTTTGCAATCTGTGTTGTCACTGAAGTTGCACCCAGATTTTAACCATGTATCGGACGATTACTGAAGAGATGCAACAGAACAAAGTTTCAGACAGCCAGATGATTGTGTTAATGTACTTTGGACAGCCCATCATGATTGCTCATACTCTGCACCGTGATGCATTTTTACACCCGTTTACCTGCACTATTGAACCAGAGTCCCCAACTGCTCAATATACCAAAAACATGTAAAACCTTTTAAATGCAGGTTTGCAGCAACCATTTATTCTAGCTTTGTGCTAAACTTTTTTTTTTTTTTTTTTTCATGTGATTAGTTTTTGGTGTTACCACCCATTTTGATTGTTTTATGTCTTTAACCATTTGAGAATCAAAATGATGAATAATAGTTTGTGTTCTTAGAAATCTCAAAAATAGAGAGGTTCAATGGACATAGGGTAATATTTTGTAGATTAAAACAACAATAAAAAAGGCAGCACCACATAAAATAAGTCCAATAAGAAATAAAGAATAAAGTCCAACTTATGTGTCCTTACGAGTGGTCTTTACAACAGGAAGTGCAGTAGTGAGGTCTTCATAAACTGTATTGGTTCCACTTATATAGAAGACAAAAAGCAGAGAGAGGGACGACCAATAGTGTAGTATTTTATAATTCCAATAATGACGTACTTAGAAATAATAGTGGAGAACTCACATTTGATAGAGCTTATATCCAGCTCTAGGGTAAAAGCGCATACAGCGGTTTAATCCCCGCTTATGGGATGTACCGTGGGTATCTCTCCGTCAGTGGTGTCCAACTCTCAAATTAAAAAGAAGAAACAGCCGATAGTGCTCACTGTATAGTAGTCTTAATATAAGTAGATAAAAACGTACTTACAAATGAGGAGCAGACCAGCTGCTCTTGTGTGTCAGCGTAGGTGGATAAATCCCCACCTCAGGATTTCTTGGGACAGGAGACTTCCAAGTGGATTAAAATCCAAAAAAGAATATAAATATAAAATAGTATAATTGTATAATAAATAAAATACTAGGAAATACTAAAAAGCCAGGAAAAATAAGGAGTATATAAAAATAATAAAAGGAATAATTGGAGTAAATAAATGACCAAAAATTGCTTTAATATTTAAAATACACAATATAAAATATCCATAACGCGTTTCGTCAACAGACTTTATCAAATGGAATAACCTTAAAGTCTGTTGACGAAACGCGTTATGGATATTTTATATTGTGTATAAGCGGGGATTAAACCGCTGTATGCGGGTTGCGTGATGACGTAGTGGTGGGCGGAGGTACGCACGCATCCGGAGGCTGACTCTGTAATGGAAGAGGAACGGCGTTCTCTTAGATCGCACGAGGCAAGATCGAAGCGCGAACGGCGCTAAGAAGACCGGCATTATAGCAAGGTCCGAGAGCGGCAAATATTTTGCAGTATACCTCTGATGCTGACAATTAGCCGAAATCTATAAGATCGTATATCTGCTCATACCTGCTCATACCTGCTCATACGGAATAATTAAAAGGAAGTGCTGGGTGAAGTGAACATTTGATGCAAAGAGAAATGAAGATAAGCTAAGTACTCCCTTGTTTTTTTTTTTTTTTTCTTTTCTACATTTGCTCTTTAGCTTATGCTTATGCTGTGAAAAGACTGAGAGAGGAAGAGGATAAATGAAGGAAATAAGAATACTGGAAACAGTCCGTATTAGATAAGAAGAAAAAAAAAGGGAAAAAGAAAGAAAAAAGAAAAGGAGAAGAAAGGGGTAAAAAAAGAAGAAAAAATTAATTAAAAACTAATTAAAAAGAAAAAATATATTAAACACTGAAAAAACCCTAATTGAAGGGCAAAGGGAGGAAAAAAAAAAAAAAAACTATGGCAACAAAAACATCAAAAGCAGCCATTAAGAAAGCAGCTAAACAGGACCAACAAACAGAAAAAAATAAAAATCCTTCAAGTTTTTTTTCACCTGGACAAAAATCTAGTATAGGAAAAAATCATGATAGTTCAAATGTATACTCTTCAAAAAGCGAAGAATCTATTCAAAGTCCATCTAGCCAAACATCTAGCCAAACAGAAAACTACATTACAACAGACTTTTTAAAACAATGTCTAGATGAGCAACTGGGGGCAATAACTGCTGAACTTAATAAAAATACAGCAGAAACAAAAAAACAGTTGCAGGAAATATTTGAAAAACTAAAGCAAAGTGAAGAAAAAATCACAGCTTTGGAATTTGAGAGCAGAGCATATAAAGAACAAAATAAGCAGCTGAACAATCAATTGAGACAAATAGAGGGAAAATTAGGAGACCTGGAGGATCGCTCAAGAAGAAACAATTTGAGAGTAAGAAATGTTTCAGAGGCAGTTACACAAGACAAAATACCTGATTATTTTGATACCTTATGGGCAACACTCAATATAGATGTATCAACTTTAAACACCAAAATGGAGCGATACCATCGTATAAATAAACCCAGCTCGGTTCCTCAACAAATACCGAGAGATATAATAATACATTTTCAGTCTTATCAATTCAAAGAAACTATAATGTACGCAGCTCGAACAAAACAGCTCAATATAGAAAAGTTTGGTGACATTAAGATATTTCAAGATTTGTCTTTCTATACTAGACAACAAAGAAAGAATTTTCCATGGCTACTACTTCATTAAGAAGACTAAACATAAAATATTCTTAGATTTACCCCTGTAAATTAATGATAATTACAGAAGGAATACGCGAGATATTTACGATCCCATCTCAGATAGAACAATGGATAAAGAAGAAAGAGACTTTACATAATCAGATAAGGAAGAAAGAGAGAGAGAGGAAAGGGGGAAGGAAGAAAAAAGGAAAAAAAGACAAGTAGAAGAGAGGGAGTGAGAGGCGACAGAGAAGGGGAAGAAGAAAAAGGAAGAAAAAAAAGAGAAGAAGGAAAAGAACTTGAAGATTTAAAGTATGGACATGAGCGGAAGCTAATTGGCTTGGAGAACTCTAGAGAGAAGGGGAGGAGAAAAGAAGAGAAAAAATAATTTTATAAAGGAAGTTGAAACTACACGTTGAAGATATAGAGACCAAACTGTAATTAATGAAGAAGAAATAAATAGAGATAAGCACTTTCAAGTTAAAAGAAAACACATATATGTTAGTAATGAAATTCACATATAGGAAATTTTAAAGGAATTTAATATAAACTAGGTATGTTACACCAAATTTTATGAGGAGTAAGGGTCAAATTTAGAATCACAATAAATTGCACGTTAGTTTTCCACAAGTAATAGAATTTTAAAAATTTAGATTTTTTTTTTTTGTATCACTGAACAATAATAGGGGAATACTAGTACATTTAAAGAATCACAAAACAAATTTAAAAGGTTAACACAAAATTAATCTATGGGAAGTGTGCACAAGATGAAAAGAGTTGAAATTTAGAGGTGTGAAAGGAAAAAATAAGAATAAGGGAAATGAAAGGGAAAGAAATTTTTTTCATATAAATAGGAAAGAATAAAGATATGATTATGCATATAGTAATAGAGGGGGGTGAAGGAAGAAAAAAAGGGAAGAAGGGAAAAGGATGAATTAAGGGAAAGGTCACTAGGAAGTTTTTTTTTTTTTTTTTTTCTCTCCCCTTCTTTCTTCTTCTCTTCTTCTCTTTCTCGTATTAGAGGAAGAGGAGGAGAGAAAAGTAGAAGTATGGATGCCATACAGCAGAAGAGAAAGACGAAATAGGGAATGATAAAGAAAAATTTAGATTAAGTTCCTTCAAAACGGGGTACAGCCTCCCCTGCCGGAACCTGAAAAGGTTAAAAGTGGGTATTAAAACCCATCAAGGAAAGTGTTTTTTGACTCTTTTTAGAGTCTTAGGAATGTTAGGAAATAGACCTCAAGTGCTTGTAGACTTGAGGCTGTTTTGTGTATGTCTTGTAATGGGTTTTGTTCTTCGTCTTTTTTTTTTTTTTTTTGTTCTCGGGAGTTCACTAGACGGTCCAAAAAGAGAGAGAGGGAAGGGGGAAGAAAAAAAAAGGAAGGAATAACAATATATGACAATGGTTAAATTAATAACGTTAAATATTCAAGGCTTAAATATTCCTCAAAAAAGACTAGCCTTTCAAGATTACCTAAAAAAAGAACATGTTCAAATTGCGATGGTCCAAGAGACACATTGGCGTAAACAGGATGAAAAGAGATGGACCAGTAGTTCTTTTCCTTTAAAAATTTGTTCCTCTAGAGAGGAGGGGAAAAAGGGAGGAGTTGCAATATTTTTTGCAAAAGATTTAAAAATAAATTTAAAATTTTTGGAAATAGATTTGGAGGGAAGATTCATTATATTAATAGCCACAATTAATGAGGAACTTTTTACACTAATTAATGTCTATCTGCCTAATAAAAACCCTATAGGTCTATTGAGAAAAATATTAAATAAGGTTGAGACTATAGGAGTTGGATTAAAGATATATGCAGGGGATTTTAATAGTATTCAAGATCCCCTACTAGATAAGTTCTCGGAAAAACAAACTATGTGGGACAAGCAAGTTTTAAAGAACGCAAGGATTTTTAACAACTTGATGAAAAAAGGTGGTCTATATGATATATGGAGACTTAACAATCCTGCAGGGAAAGAATTTACGTTCTATTCCTGGCCTCATAATTCATATTCGCGTATAGACCTAATATTTGGAGATCTAAAATTAATAGATAAAACAGTTAAAATAGAAATTAAACCAGTAATATGGTCAGATCATGATAGTGTGAGTTTGGAACTTAATAATAATAGAGTAAATTACAACAAGAATATAACTTGGAGGTTAGATGAATCACTATTATTAAGTAAGGAGCATAAAGATTATATAGAGAAAATGATTATCTGTTATTTTGAAGAGAATAATAATGGATCAGTGGAGAATGATATTTTATGGTGCTCATTTAAAGCAGTAATAAGGGGACACTGTATAATGCTCAACAAACTTAAGAAAAAAAAGAAGGTGCAAACATACAAGATCTTTATATGGAATTATATAAATTAAATAAAATTAATAATGAAAACCCAACCAAAGATACTAAGTTAAAAATAGAGAAAATTAAATCTGAAATTCAGGAAAAAACATATGAAAAAAAAAAAAAAATATGTTCTAACTTAAAATTAAATATTATCACAAATCTAATAGAGCGGATAAAATATTGTCCAATTTGCTGGAAAAAAAAAATATGACCAATAAGGTTGATAAAATAATAACTAATGATAATATCTCCCTTCTACCAGAGCAGATAGGGAATGCATTTAATGAATACTATGCTAATTTATATAGTCTTTCAGTAACTACTCCATCAGAAATAATAAAAAAATACATCAAATCAGCTAAACTGAATAAAATAACAGAATCACAGATAAATAATCTAAATAAAGAGATTAGGGAAGAAGAGATCAAGATAATAATAGATAGATTAGAAACTTGTAAAACGCCAGGTCCAGATGGATTTGGAAATAAATTCTACAAAATTATGCAACCTCACTTGATTGAACATTTAAAAAATACTTTTAATTCTGCAGTTAAAAAGGGCAGATTCCCTGAGGAAATGCTTAAAGCAAATATTTTACCCATATTGAAACCTGGGAAAGATCCAACTAAAGTACAGAGTTATCGTCCAATATCATTAATAAATGTGGATATTAAGATATTTTCTTCTATTATAGCTAACAGAGTAAAAGAAGTCATTAAACAATTAATTCACCCTGATCATAACATGAGACGCGTGATAAATGCATTAGATTTCTCACAAAAGGAAAAAAGTCCCATGCTGATCCTGTCTTTAGATGCTGAAAAAGCCTTTGACAGGGTCAGCTGGGATTTTATGAAGTTTACTTTAGAGGAATTAGGTATACAGGGTTGGTTGCTTAATGCAATTTTAGCTTTATATAAAGATCCAAAGGCGAGAACTATTGGCCCTGGTATATGTTCAGACTGGTTCAAATTGAACAACGGGACCAGACAAGGCTGTCCTTTATCCCCTTTATTGTTTATTTTAACTCTAGAGGTTCTAGCTAACAGAATCAGAAATAATGAAAACATCAAGGGAGTCATAGCAAAACAGAAAGAAATGAAAATATCCCTTTATGCTGAAGATACTATTCTTTTTTTGAATTCATCAATATCAATATTAAATACAATGTCAGAAATTGATACATATAGTGCAGTATCAAATTATAAATTAAATAAAACAAAATCAACTGCCATATATATGAATATGCCAAAGCAAGAAATAGATTTTTATCAAGAAACATACGGCTTTATTAAAGCTAAAATGTTCTTGTATTTGGGAATTAAAATTTGTAGAAACGTAGAAAGTATCATGCGAATAAATTTTATGGATCTCCTGAAAGAGACTAATAAGAATTTGAAAGAATGGAGAAAATTAGAAGTATCTTGGGGAGGAAGAATAAATATTTTGAAATCATATGTTCTACCAAAATGGATATGCATGTTTAGAATGCTTCCATTAGAAATCCCGAATGCATGGCTGACAATGATCAATAAGGCTTTTTATGATTTTGTATGGCGAGGAAAAAAACCTAGAGTTAAAAATGGAGTATTAGCAAGAGGAATAAAGAAGGGAAGTCTAGGATATCCAAATATAAGAAAATATTATGAAGCAGGAATTATTACGCATGTTATGGCTAGTCAAATGAAACAAAATAAAGAGGAAGTATGGTGGTGGTTGGAACTAGATTCTAGCCAATTAAGAAACACTTTAGAATTAGTCTGGGGTACAAAAAAAACGCAATCTATCCAGATCATACATCTTAGGACAGATTATTCCTATATGGCAAAAAATAAGGAAAAAAATTGATCTGGTAAATAAGATATTTGACTTTCAAAATTTAGAAATAATAGAATTAAATATGGAGAGTATCTCCTTAAAATTATGGAAAGAAAAAGGAATAAATATTTTAGAGGACCTGATTAAAGAAAATAAAATTAAATCCTATAAAAGGTTGGTTGAGGAATTTAAGATCTCTAACAAAGATATATATACTTATTATAGAGTAAAACATTACTTGGAGAAAGTTGAATTAGTAAAAGAAGGTAAGATGTACGATATTCTAAAAACAATCTTATACCAGAATAAGACAAAGCAACTGTTTTCTAGATGTGTTAGATTGTTGGATCTAATGGATGATTTCGTCCCGCCCAGTGCCATTAAAAAATGGAATACTGAATTAAAAACAAATATAGAATTATCTGAATGGCTATCTACGGCACAAAAAATCAATAAATATGTTCATTCTTTTGTATTGATAGAAACACATTTTAAGTTGGCTAACCAATGGTATATGACGCCAACAAAAATAGCTAAATTCGATGTATCTAGGGACACAAAGTGTTGGAAATGCAGAGAGGAAAAAGGAAACTATATTCATATGTGGTGGTCATGTAAGCAAGTGATTGTTGTATGGCAGTGGGCTCAATTCATCATTCATACACTGTGCGGTGTTAAAATGTCTTTAAAACCTGAAGTAATGTTATTATATTATAAATGGCCAAAATTGAATAAAATAAATCAATTTCTAATTATCCATTGTTTAATGGCTTGTAAAATAATAATAGCAAGAAATTGGAAGGGAGATACCCCTTTTAACATCAAATTAATAATAATTCAGTTGGTTTACCAACTTAAAATGGAGAAGGATCATTGCAAGTTCCTGAAGGATGATTTGAGCCTATTGGGATTGGGAGAAAAAATTATTACAATTGTAAAAGGATTGTCATCTGAAAAAGTTAAAAAAGTTGGAAGTCAGTAGAACTCTTGTGGGGTGGGGGATAGTTTTTTTAAATTTATTTATTTATTTTTTTGTCCTTTTATGTTTGTTTTTATGTGGATGAATGTATTTTAATACTCTTTTGTAAAATGTATTTATGGTGGAAAATCTGATAATAAAAAGATTTATAAAAAAAAAACGCTGTATGCGCTTTTACCCTAGAGCTGGATATAAGCTCTATCAAATGTGAGTTCTCCACTATTATTTCTAAGTACGTCATTATTGGAATTATAAAATACTACACTATTGGTCGTCCCTCTCTCTGCTTTTTGTCTTCTATATAAGTGGAACCAATACAGTTTATGAAGACCTCACTACTGCACTTCCTGTTGTAAAGACCACTCACAAGGACACATAAGTTGGACTTTATTCTTTATTTCTTATTGGACTTATTTTATGTGGCGCTGCCTTTTTTATTGTTGTTTTAACCTGTCTTGTTTTAAAAGAGTTTTGCTGCCTATTAGTTAACTAGCGCTGTCTCTTTTTTTTATATTTTTTCTACTAATATTTTGTAGACCAACTCCGAAAGGGAACTTGATTATAATTCTGTATTCCTTTTTTATGGATTTCGTGACTTTTAGGATTGTACGTTGTTTAAATCGCCAACCGCTCAACATAGCTGATTGCTTTTTACAGCATTTTCATCTAAGAGTATAAGATAATGCAACACAGGCAAAATTTATCTCTCGTAAAAATAATAAATAAAATCAAAGCTCGCACAAACGTTCATAGCACTGTATTTGCTATGATTAAAAGTAGTTTAAGCTCAGAGTAATGTGCCTTGATAATAGTGCTGCATTGCATATATGCAGACTAACATTGTGTTTTGTAAGGTAGTCTTGTGTTATAGCCAATACAAGGTGTGTGTGTGTGTGTATATATAAATATATATTTTATAATGACTGAACAGGGTTTTAATGTAATTTGATTAATCTTTAAAGGATACAGGTCATACCTATGATAACATCGCATGTTGGCAATGAAGCCAGCATTTTGGCATCACAGAGGAGGTTTGACCTGCTTGGGGAAGCATCTCCAAGTAGGGCAAGTGAAGTAATAGACCTGGCGGCGCACGGGAAGGGCAAAGGATGGACCGGAGGTCTACTATACAAGAGTAACACTCATGAAACTGAGGAAGTGGCGTCTGGATCAAAGGTCAGGTAGGTATATCTCAAAATGTACATCAATACATCATGTATCACCGTAATATATGATGTACTCGTGGTATTTGGTGCCGATTTGCAGAAAGTTAAAAAGCTGTTGACAGATTCCCTTTAATATACATTTTAAAAGAAAACTGCATCACATGGGGGAAAAAAGTTTAACATAATATTAACATTATGTAATCTTATTGTTTTGTTCAATCGTGAATTTACAAAGAAGGGACCATTCCCATTTATTGCAAAAACAAAAAAGGAAATGTGGAAAGGTGCTACATTTGTTGCTGTCCCCTCCATAATGACTTTAGCAGCATTTAGATAGGAGAGTGTAAGGTGACCGTGTTACAGTGTATGGCAAAATTAGCAGTCATATCCATTCACCACACAATCTCTTTACTTTGTACACATTCATGAGTTGTACAAGGTAAAGTCACAGACCTAGGCAAAGTGTTGGGAGGCCGTGATAACCGTAAGGAAAGCAGTACCAACTTGCAGATGCAAAGGGTTAACCACTGTAATTGAGTAAGGAGCAGTGAACAAGGAGAAAAGTCAAAAATGTGAATATTAATTTTTTATTTATTTTTTTATATAAATTTTCAGCAACTGATGTTTTGTATGTCATTATCACATATCCAGTAAACTCTGAAAAGTCATTGTTTTTTAAATTTACATTGGTTAAAAACACCTGCAAAAGAAAATGTGCAAATAAAATGTACTAATTGCATAAATATTCAAACTTTTTAGTCAAGCACCTCTTCCTCCACCCTCCCCAAATTCAGATTTTTTATTTATTTTTTATTTATGGGAAATGTTAACAAGTCTCATAATCCTGATAGGACCTGCAATCTACAATATGCGTGTGTATATATGTGTGTATATAAGTGTGTGTGTGTATGACCTGTGTTTGAGGACTGGGGTGCATCTCCGTGAGTTCCTGGGAAGCCCATCTAATAGTTTCTGGGGCTCTGGGGGCTTTCTTCGCCATGGCATGTTTTAGTTAGTATTACTTCTATGTCGACTGTCTTAAGATTAATGCCATGCTGTTTTTCTGCTCAACATTGTTTTCAATTATTTTTGAAAATGTGCAGCATTAATGACACACTGCAGATTTCTGATGTCAATCTTACTAAAAATAATGTGATTCTACCACCTTGTAAACATGCCTGCACTACAAAAATAAAGAATTAAAAAAAAAAAAAACTGGAGGGCAATGCCTTCTATTTCATTATGTCACTCCATACATTATAGAGCGGTATTAGCATCAGGGATAACGAGCTGGGATTTATAGCCCGGTTTGCTTTTTCAACATGTCCTCTCCTCATATCCTTCTGCTCTTCCAGCTGGGCAGAAAATGGTTTTCAAACCGGCCCAACTACTTTGGCCAGGATTTCATTCTATGTACCTAACACCCTGGTATATCCTCTATATCTTCTTCCTCTAACACCCCAGCCTGAAAACCTTTTCCCGGTGTAGTACTGGATTTTCAGGTACTGTCCTCCTAGACTTTATTCCTATCAAAGATATGGACATTTAGCATCAAACTTTCATTTTATTCTTATATCTGCATTAACCTGAAATTACAGCTTGCCAGTGAAAAGCAAAGTTTCCATTTAAACAGACCCGTTTTTCATATTTCTTCAGTTAATCTGAATATTTTGAGTATTTTTAGCAGCAGGTGGTAAAGCGATCTGATCATTAAAACATTGGGTTAACTCTCAGATTTTATATTATCACATTATATTCCCTGGCAGTAGATGTATCTATTTGATTTTTAGGTTGATGTTCTAATCTTGGTATATTTCATATATTCACTTGTATCATTTGTTCAAGTCTTGTATGCTTCTCCAATCCATTATTTATTTCATGTACACACAAAACCAAATTCTCTCACCTGTTTTGTTTCATAATTACAGCGATGTTCCACTTGAAGCCGTGCAAGTCAATGATCAGCTCGCACAGTGTGACATGTAGCTAAAAAAATTATTCTTACTCTTTATATTCATGCAGGCACGCTCATTCAAGAGAAAAGTTCAAGGAAAAGCATTTGCTGCCTTTAATATCACAGTGAGTATGTGAAGTCAAGAATACAGCATGTAATGACACCGTGATATATTTATATACAGACGTATGGGGTAGGCCTGAAATAAAAGAGGGCCATCCCATTGAATTGTAATAAAGGGGAGAGGTGGGAGGGATGAACCTAGCGGTGACGGTTCTGTCTTGGGGTGCGGGGGGCCTGAGTTTTTATAGCCGGGTAACCCCTCTCACAATTACAGGCTACGCCTTCATATTTGTAGTCGGGGACATAAGCTATAATGGTAACGTAATAATTAGAAGTAAGCACAAATCGGTTGTGGTGTGCTGGAACCGACGTATGGGGTAGGCCTGAAATAAGAGGGCAAAAATTGATGTATACAAATATCCTTCATTACATACATGTTACAAAGCTAAACCTTTAAATGCTAATCTCAATTCCTGTTCTGGTTGTGGTATATAACTCGTATATGCTGATGATTTCCAGCGTCCAAGTCTTTTAATTATATGAGCAGGGACATTGTGGCTTCTGAATGTGTGACCAGAAAAGGCAGAGGGGTCAAGACCGAGTCTAATGAAAACAGTTCGTGAATTTGGTATATAGGGTGAATTCCCTATTGTATACCCGAGATTTATTGGTAGAGAGGACCGAGCTGGCCAGATATCTGCTGTGTGTTAAGAGGCATTCTAGTCCAGGCTGAGGTCTTGGTATGAGACGGTGCTGACCGGACTGATGTTGGCTGTAGGATGGGCTCTGAAGAAAAACTGCAAATTAGATCGAGACAATGCTACAGTGGCTGTATTAATGCGTCCTGGGATGCATATACAAGTGATGTGAAATTGCAGCGTAGCCGAATAGAGCAGATTTAGTGTGGAATGAGTGTAGATCATGGGTTTCGACCGTCCAGAAATCTCTTAACCAGGAGTCGCCAAAGATAGCTGCAAACCCTGTATGGGGTGCGGCATCGGTCCATGTGACCGGGGAAGAGTCTGAGAAGGGCGGAAGAAACATCGCTGTACTAACATAATTGCAAAAGGGTTTTCTGAAATTGTGAAAGAAATCTAAGCCACATGTGTAGGTCTGCCTTAGTGTGTGCGTCTAGGGTTACGGTGCTTTTGTTAGTATTTAGCAGAGAAAGAAGGCACAGCAAGCTAGAAATAAAGGCCCGGCCCTGTGGAATAATTCTCTTAGCAACGTTTATCGTGCCTAGTAAGGATTGTAGGTCTGTCCTGGTACACGTGCCCTTAGCCAGAAAACCTTCCACCGACTCTGATGAGCCGTACCTTCTCCATGGGTAAACTGGCTTGTAGTGAGATCGTGTCTAGGTGGATTCCCAGGAAAGTTAGATTAGTCGTAGGGCCTACAGTTTTCTCTTGCGACAGTGGAACCCCTATTGCTGAGAATAGAGCCAATGTTTTAGTGGACTGAGGTAATTCTATAGTGAGAAAGTCGTCTAGATAATACAAGACTGAGGGGCATTCAGCAATGTTGAGGACCAGCCAATATAACTTGTCGGCAAATATGTCAAACAATTTAGGACTACTTTTGGCCCCAAAAGTTAAACAAATTGCAAAGTAGTACTTGTGTTTACACCGAATGCCGTGCACATGCCACAAGGATGGATGTATGGGCAGGAGCTTGCATGCATTGGAAACGTCCATTTTATCTAACCATGCTCCTACCCCAGCCTTTAGAATGACATGAATAGCATCATCCACAGTGGCATATTGTAGTGAGAACTCTTCAGATGGAATTAATGAGTTGATGCTAGGTGTAGACAAAGAATGTGAAGCCAATAAATCGTAAATTAGCGGTTTTTTATTTTTGAACTTCCCAGTGGCTATAACTATGGGATTTGTAAGCCAGCTGGAAAAGGAGGGTTTAGAAAATGGACCTAATATGAACCCGTTGTTCAACTCTTTTGTTAGTAGCAACTCTGTGAACCCATTAACCAAGAAGGTGATGAGAAGGATGTGCCTGGATGTAATACACCAGGTTGTCGATGCTAACTTCGGTTAGTCATGGTTTCGGGTACAGACGGTTAGGACACACAGTTTTTGTGTGTGTCCTGAAACAAATTGAGCAGACGTGCAACAATCTGCACAATCTAAATCCACAACTGGCAGAATAAAAGTTGCTGCAGATTTGAGCTATCCGTAGATATATTATGGGTCTACCCAATTTGTCGTTAAGGCCTCTGTGTTCTGCAGTGTAAGAACCGAAGGAAGCACGACTAGTGGTAGGAAAGCTAGGATGGTGAAGTGTGAGATGGAGGCACACAAGACGGTTTTTGACCGGCAAAATGGCTACAGAATAATTCTGTCTCAAGCCTACTCCAGTTGGTGTGGGTATTAAATTGGGTGAGGGATGCCGCTGCTTTAGCTGAAAAAGATTTGATTGTCATAAAACGAGAAACCACCGTACTTGTGTCCGAAGTCTACCAACTTGTGCATATATAAATCCAGCTCTTCCTTACGGTGAGGAGAAGTGGAGCAGATTACGTCACAGTAAAGCCCATAGGCAAGGACAAATTCAGGTATGGTAAGTTGTTGGTTGAGTCTGGGTCTCTGGCTTTTAAAACAAACGAAAGATCACCATTGCAGTATGCTTTGTTCTCAACCACATCATGAGAGGCTATAAGCAATGAGACCAAGTTTATGTCCTTGCCTTTCAAGATATCTTTGCGAATGGTCAGGGGCACAAAGTAGGTGATGTGAGTAGAAGTGATCGGTATTGGGTTTGTGGAGGTGTCGTTACCGTGAGAGGGAGCTGGAGTGGGGATCTCTAAAGGTGGGATGGCTGTCAACGGTTGAGGGGATTCCAGTTTCTCCAGCCCAACACTGATAGTGTTAAATGAGGCAAGAAGGGATGACATTAAACCCTTGATTTCCCTATAGTTGTCGGGTGGAGGGACTACGCCCGGCTGGGGAGTACAGGTATTGGTGATAAATAGTCTATAGAGCCCTGCTAGTGCCAAGTGGCAAGAGAGGGTCTAACTCTGAGAAGGGCCGAGTTGGCTGGGGGCCACAAATGCTGTGGTAGGGATGTTGCTCTCTGTGACAGTAACAAGACCAAATATATGTGGGTGTGACATGGTAAGGCCCTAATAACCGACAGTGGTTAATATGAGGCTCTAACTATGCGTTTGATCGAGGAACGTATACTACCGACGAGGATGGGTGTTGGCCTCACGGGAGTAGATGATTTATAACCAGACATGGGGCCAAATGCAAGTAACAAACAGCCAGTTGACCAAACCATAACCTATAGCAGGATGGGTGTAGGATGTAAGATTGGGCCTTATGAGATTGAAAGAAAGATTCTGTTCAGACAAGGATGAATGCTTGCGAATCTAAAAAGGAAATGTGTAAGGTTAGGTTATATTTGGACCTAATTCTACCTCCTTATTGTGAGTAAAACTCACCTGTGTAATGATGTCCATGATTCGGCGGGAGTAGCTAGTAATAGTTATCTAAGGATAAAACTATAGTTACGCTCTATCAAAATATTAAGTATGGAATGGCTACTATTCAACCCTCATTGAAAGTCAGGTTTATTGTCAAGATTTACAGACTTTCAAGTGGTTTCCCCAAATTCAACTGAAAATGCAACATATAACGACTTCTCCAGTCTCAATATTTTCTAACCCCTGGATAGAATTCCTCATAACAGCACAAATATGCAAAACATGTGTTGTTTCAAGCACACCTGATGCAACTAACCAAGGGCTTAATTAGTTGCACCAGGTGTGCTTGAGCTGGAACTGAAATACCTGAACTGGCTATGGGTTTGTTGGGATTCATGTTAAGTGCATGTTAGAAATATGGCTAAATCCAAAGAATGGTCCACAAAGTTAAGAGAAGAGATCATCACTCTTCACAAATAAAGATCAGGATACAAAAAGATAGCTAAGGCACCGAATGTTCCTAGAGATACCGTTGGACGAATAATTCACAAGTTAAAAGAACATTGGTGACGCTGCCTGGACGGAGCAGAAAAAGGAAGCTATTAATGGCTGCAACCAGATTTCTGAGAAGACTCTGATTAGATCCAGTTTGAACTGTTCTGTGAAGCGAGTAGTACACAGCGTTGTATGAGATTTTCAGGTTCTTAGCAATTTCTCGCATGGAATAGCCCTTATTTCTAAAAACAAGAACAGACTGATGGATTTCAGAAGAAGGTTGTCCGTTTCCAGCCATCTTAAACTTGTAAACTAACTTAAAAGTACTAATGCTTCAGTGGCTCTTCTTGTCTAACAAAGTTTTATTTCTTCTATATATTGTTTCACAATAGTTTTATGCTGTACTAACATAATTGCATAAGGGTTTTCTGGTGGTCAACTAGCCTTTTTAAATGTTAAACTTTGATTAGTAGACAGAACATGCAATTGGAACAGAGGACATATGGTTGCTGATAATGGGCCTCTGTACACCTATGTAGATATCCTATTAGAAATCCGCTATTTCCAGCTAATCTAGTCATTTACAACATTAACAATATCTACACTGTATTTCTGATTCATTTTGTTACTTTAATGGGCAAAAAATTATTTTATTTTGAAAACAAGCAAGGGACCCTCCAACTTTTCAATACTAGTGTGTCTGTGTTTATAGATGTACTGGATACCGCACTCGCCAGGGCTGGCCAGATTTCACTTCCAAGCTATGCAGAATAAATAACGGTTCAGGCCCTCCGGGACAACAGAAATAGCAACTTCATTGGGGCAAAAGCATCAAAGTTTCGACCCTACTGGGACTGCTTCTTCTGTTATTCCGGAGTGCCTGAACCGGTATTTATTCTGTGTTTTATATATGAACTTGTGCATGATATTCCAATTATCTGGTGGGTTTGCTAAAAAGACAATAACACCAAATAGATTTCATCTTGAATGATGTAGATTTGGTGCATAGACCGTATCCCTGCAGTTTGACAATGTAAAACATTTCTGTTATAATGAAACTACAATGCTTCCATTTGGCCATAAATGTGTTTATAGTGGCTAGAGGTGCTTTCTCTCTGAAGACTTAATAAAAAGATTAAAAAAAGTCTTCAACATGTACTTACTTTTAACCTTACATCGTCCCTTTAATTCTAGAAATGCAATTCCTAATATTTTCTTTTTCCACTAGGTCGCCTTGGACAGTTATCTGAAAAAACTTAGAAAAGCCGACTTTAATATTTTTCATCCAAGCTTACAAAGGAAGAATACATTACTTCCATTATATTTCTATGTTCGATCTTGGAAAAAAACTTATTAAAAATATTTGTAATTTGTATTTGGCATTTTCCTTTTTTAAATTATCATGTAGATATGTTTTTTTTTTTTCTATACACCTTTGTTCTCTCTTGGACTAAATCTAACAAATTATCTTTAAATGGTGACTGTCATCCCACTCCCTGTTTATAGGGATTATGTTCTCCTGCATTATGTTGTAGCTTGTGAGTCAAACCTTTGTCATCAAATAGCTTTGGATAACATCAGGTAACCGTTTTATTCATTGTTAGATGACAGAGTCTGCAGTAACAAAGAACATTCTACATTGCAAAGAAACCCAGGATGTGTAATACAGAGAACTGCTCAGCACTGTATCGACAAATATAAGTATTCACCAATATGCAGTATTTAACATGAGCTCTTTTATGTGCAGAAATAATCCATTATTAGAATTGATAACAAGGGCATTAAAAGTGTAAGTTCTTTGGCCAAAACGTCTTCGTTTAACCTAAAGTATATGTCAAAATGGAGGGTAAAAAAAAACCTTTTATAGGAATTCTTTTCATGTTCAAAACAGAAAACAAATAGCAAAATAGAAACAGATTAGTTTATTAGCACAACATAGTGGTATAGGAAAGAGTGCTAATTTATCCTATGTACAGATAAATATATATCCATAGGTGCGCGCAGCCAATTGCATAAGGGTGTGCACCCTAAAGCACTAAAGTGTGTGTGTGTGTGTGTGTGTACACATATATATAATATTTGTGGTCATGGCATAAGCCGTAGTATTATTGACATTAGACAAACATAGAATGGAAATGTCAGTTGTGGTGTGCCGGAACTGACGAGGAAGTAGGCCTGAAATAAAAGAGGGCCTACCTTATAGAATGCTTATAAAAGTGGTGTGGTGGGTGGGACAATTCGCCAGACCCAACAGGTAATGAGAGAAGGGTTGGTGCTCCTTAAGAAGGGGAACCAAGCCCCTCCCACAACTTCAGGCCACGCCTTCCATTTGTGGTCATGGCATAAGCCGTAGTATTATTGACATAAGACAAACATAGAATGGAAATGTCAGTTGTGGTGTGCCGGAACTGACGAGGAAGTAGGCCTGAAATAAAAGAGGGCAAAAAGATATAACCATTTATTTGTTCTATAACCCAACAATACACATTACATATTCATGGTTTTGAATGCCAGGCGTACTTCTTGTACAGGCTGAGGGATGTAGCGGGTGTATGCTGTGGATTTCTATCGGCCTAATATCTTGATAATGTGAGCCGGTATATTCTTTTTTTGAAGCTGTAGTTGCGGCTCCTATTCGGAAGGAGTGTACAGAATAGCTGGCTGGGTTCAAACCTAACCGGATCAACAACATCCTAACATATATCATGAATTTGCTCGTAGTGAGTACATTACCGTGCAAGGATAGGAGTGATTGTGTCGGAGCCATATTACAGAAAGCCAGAAGAGTGTCAAAACTTTCACTGGACACCAGATATTACTAGTGGGGTAATAGGGTATAATGACTGTCTGACCTTTGGCGCTAGTTTTGGTATGGTGTAGGGATAGTTGATAGTGATCGTGCACCTTTACGAGATCGGATCTAGTGATGAACGTGAGCGAGTTGACGCTAGTGGTGGTGAATTCTCTGGGCCGCAGAAAACCAAAAAAAAATGCCAGATAGATAGCTGTTTTAATAACACGATTGGTATGGCCTTCGAATGGTGAGGTGTCTAGTAGATTTGATAGTGCCTGGAATAATAGATCGTGGATGGGTAGTCTAGCAGGTGCGGGTGTAGGAGTGGAGTCTTTGATACCTTTAAGAATAGCCTTAACTTGGTAGGAGGATAGAAAGCGTTGTTTGTTAGGCCAAGAAGTGAGTATGTGGTGTTGAATACCTGTGATATACAATTTAATGGTGTTGTATGATAATGTTAGATGAAGGTGGCAAAAAGAGATGAAAGCAATAATGGTTTCCATGGAAAACTGATCAACGATATTAAAGTCCAACAAAAATTTATTAAATACATCAAAAGCTCTACCATATGCCTTCCTAGTATTAGCAGAAAGACCGAGCTGTGAGAGTTGCCGCCCATGACATAGCAGCTCTTTTAGTCCCAGACCATCTCCTGCCACTGTGGTACCGGAGTTGGTATTAGGGTAGCAGTTGGTAGAGCTTCCCGGAACTCCTGAAACCGAGACCGTGATAAGTGATCAGCTGCAACATTGAGAAACCCGGGGACATGAATGCAAGACAAAAGAAAACTGTGTTTAGCGGCCAGCCATGTGAGAGTCCTCATGAACCGCATGATGGCCAGGGAAGAGGAACGTCCCTTATTTACAACATGGCATGTAGCCATGCTGTCTGAGAAGCAACGAACCGTATTCCCAGACCAGCCTGCTCCCCACTTAACTGCTGCCGCTACGATAGGATAGAGCTCAAATAGTGCTGAAGTTTCCTTAAACCTGGGGATCTCCGTAATCTCTCCTGGCCATTTACCATACATCCTTTTGTTGCCCCAAATAGTGGCAAATCCAGAAGTGGCTGCGGCATCTGTCCAGAGTGATACCTAATTTTCTGACCAAACCGGGATAAAAATGCTTTTCCCATTCCAGTTTAGCAAAAACTCCTTCCACATACGAAGGTCAGCTGTGGCATGTATGTCTAGTGAAATGCAGGATGCGTCAGTTTGCAACATTGGAAACAGGCTAAGCAACCTGGAAATGAATGCTCTCCCCTGTGGAATGATTTTCATTGTGAAGTTCAATGAACCCAACAGGGATTGCAATTCCTTCCTATTACATGAGCCTCCTCCCAAGTAAAGGTCGATGGCTGCCAGGATGCGTTCAATCTTCTCCCTGGGGAGGCTAGCCTGCATGTTCACGGAGTCCAGTACTACCCCTAAGAAATTGATTATAGTATCTGGACCTTCAGTCTTTGCTGGTGATACCGGAACTCCTAATCGTGTGAACAGTCGTGTGATTGACTGGAGGCTAGTAGGAGGTGCTGAGTTACTTTCTACAGTCAGGAAATCATCCAGGTAATGGATAGCTGTGGGGCATTTACAGAGGTTAAGCAGCATCCAACACAGCGTCTCAGCAAATATATCAAAAATCCTGGGGCTGCTTTTTGAACCAAATGTGAGACGAGTGAAAAAGTAATACGAGCCTTGCCACTTAACCCCATGTAAATGCCATAGGGATGGATGAATAGGGAGTAATTTGAAAGCGGTCACAATATCCGTTTTACATAGCCATGCCCCTACCCCGGCTGAGAGGATGGCTGTGACTGCGTTATCTATATTGGCATATTGGAGGGAGAATTCTTCAGATGGTATTAATGAATTTAGGCTTGGAGTAGGAGATGCATGGGGGGCTGACAGATCGAGAATTAGCCTTAATTTATGTGAGGATTTGTTAGTGACCAGTCCTATAGGATTAGTTCTCCAAACCGTGAACGGCGGGGAGTCAAAAGGGCCTAACAAGAAACCTTGGTCTATTTCCTTCTGAAGGAGTAAGTCGATAGTGTCGGGTGCTGCTAGGGCTGTCTGTAAGTTTTACATTCCAGGATCCCTGTAGGCATGTGAACAATACCCGTGTGAAACCCCATCGAAAACCCTGCCACCAAAAAGTCAACGAGATGTTGTGATGGGTGATTACATAAAAGTCCTTTCAGTAGGGAGACATGAAGAGACGTTTGATACTGCTTAGGGAATAGTTTATTGGGGCACATTGCCTTGGCGTGAGCCCTGAAACAGATTGAACAGACATGCAGAAGTCTGCAGGCACTGTAACCGCAAGAGCCGGTGTTGAAATTGTTACAGACCTGTGATTTGCCCAAGAACACTAAATCACGGCTTAGTTTGTCTTTTAGCACCCTGCCAGATCTCCCTGTGGGTAGCACATTAACAGGTGAAAAAACAACATTCACCTCAGGAGATTTAGGGCATAAATTAGCCGTGTGGGAATTGGATGAACAAATGGCACAAGCTGGAGTTTTCAGGCCCGCAAAGTGCCGGCAAAACAGCTCAGTATCAAGCACACCCCAATCAGCCTGAATATTGGACTGTGCTAGGGTGGCCGACGCCTTTGCGGAAAATGCACGGTGGTAGTCGTAAAATGACGTACCACCGTACTTGTGCCCCAAATCCACCAGCTTGTGGAGGTAAAGGTCCAATTTTTCCCTCCTATTTGGATATACAGAGCATAGCACGTCCCTGTATATTCCAAAAGCCAGTACAAATTCTGGAATGGATAGCTTTTGATTCAACCTGGGATCTCTGGACTTGAGAACCACCGACACATCCCCATATGTCTTATTCTCAAGGACATCTTGTGAGGCAATCAGAAGTGATACCAGATTGATATCCTTTCCTTCCAAGATGTCCTTTCTGGTTTTAGCAGGCACCATGTGTGCTGGGTTAATTATATGTGGATCTTTAGAACTAGTTGGTAAATTACCCGGTAGGGGGTCCAAGCACACTGCAGCAACTGGGCTCCCTGCTGGCTATCTGCGTCCATTTTGTTGAGTTTGTCCGTAATACGACCCAAAGAGGTCAGGACTGACGACAAAACTGACTGCAGATCTGAGGAATGGTTCCCGCTGGATCCTTCCCCTGCCCCAGAGTTATCAGTCTGGGTATTCAATAGTCTGTACAACTCAGCTTTCCTAGCTGTAGCAGGGAACGGAATATTTATCTTCCTTAATACAGCCGTAATTCTTGGAACAGTCCACGCCCTGAGTGATGCAGGGCTTGCGTTGTCGTCACCCCGAGATGGAGTGACCGATCTAGCCGGTGTACTGGCGATGGACACATCTTCCCTTTCTTCAGGAACTTGAGACATGCTACAACATAAAATAGTATGTTACCTGGGGGCTACTCAACTGGCTATTGTTACTAATGCCAAGCGGCGAAGAATTACTAAGCGACGTGACAGGTGAGGCCCTACTAGTGGCCAAGCGGCTTTGAGAGGCACTATCTATGATTTGGCGCGTGTGGGATACGTGGCCATTGGCATTATGGCGGGGTGGTGTCCTCTCTGTGACTTGTAAAGGCA